GACTCTAAATTGTCCCTTTGCCCGGCTCTGCGAGCCTTAATATTTGTAAAGGTGCCTTCGTTGGCCTGAGTTGCAGGTATTAACACGAACCCATAACAATCCTAAAAGGTACCATTGTCTGGCCAAACATCTCAAATGCAGGATCCTTCTGAGAAAATCTTGAGCCTCAGTGATGCTCTCCTGGGTAAAGGAAACGATTAATATTACGTCTGGGTGTGCATGCAAATGTGTCACTTGGCATACACAGCTGCAATGCATGGTTTTGATCATTTATATACATAACGTAAATGCAAGTTATGAAATGTATATTGGGTCAGAATAGGTCTAATGAAGCAACATAAAGGGCATCTGTGGTGGTGGTGGGGGGTAACACATTTAAAGAAAATTATGAAATTCGGCACCAGTGTTGTTACACCGCCTGGATACTCAATAGCTTTGATGTTGGCCAAACGATAAACAGCAGCTTTAGCAGTGACTGGCTGACCGGCTCCAACCCACACAATGCTGCACGGGATTTCATGCAAAATAATCCGCATACTCGGAGTGAACCCGCGTTGACTGGGTGCTGAACTTGGCTGAGCAAGATGGTCAGGATGGCCCTTCCGTGAATGTTTTCACGCAAAGTCAAGTCAAGGTGTCTTCCTGCTCCTTTTTTCATTCTTACGGCTCATGCCTAAGGCCCACAGAAACTTTTTTCGGAACATTACAGCCGTAGAAAATAACCTACAAATGTTACAGCCCATTAGCCAATCCATTGCTGTATGAGCCGGTGGTGGAAAGCCACATCCTTTTGGCAGGGACCACTCACGAAGCCGGCTCTGCATTTATTTTGTGCTGCACAGAGAGAGGTGCAACGGTGGGGGGGGGGCCCCTTGGCTAGACTACAGTAAGGCATTGTAATCGTTGGGATGGAGGTGTGATGTACGCAAGTTGAACTTCATTCACTCCATATGTAGCCAACCGTGCTAATCTGAAGTGCACGGGAAAGGACGACAAACTAAACCACAAAAAGCGGTTCTAAATAAATGAGTTTACAATCTATATTTCAAAGTGCATAGCTTCAGCGGCTTGCTAATATCGGATGGAAGAGCGTTCCAGACGGCCGCAGAAGCGCATCTTGAACGCGCGCGATGCAGTGACCGTCTTTGTTCCGTGGCTAGCCGATAAGCCGCTGCTGCGAGGATGACCGGAGTTCGCATGATGGTTTGTATTCCTTGACGAGATCAGCAAAAGGTGTTGTGGTTCATTTGTGGAAAGCACTTTGTGTGTAATGAGTCCGACCTTATAATGTGTGCATTGAGTTGCCGGGACATTGAAGCGCCCCATAAAAGCGGATCCTTAAATCGCTATCGCTTCTTATCCTTGGGACAAATGTAGAGGAACTTCTTGGGTGTCGGAAAAAATGGCTAACAACCCAGACCATACAGCGCCTACTTTGGTACAGTACCCCAGTGGTTCCTAACCTTTATTCAGTAAGGCCGTGGGAAGTGGTTTGCCAAACTATTGCAGATAATACTACAGAACGATTTATTTATTTTTAAGTCACGAAAAACAGCAAATGCATTTTTACTGCAGAACTAGCAGCATCAGCCATCTGATTAATGTCTATAAAGAGAGCAAGTGAAATCGTTCCGCTGGCTTCTTAGTTAAAATTTTATGGCGCTTTTAGAGTAAGTTTAATTCAGAAAAAATTTATTGGTGGTACGGTGGTCCACACATATCCGTATATCTCATTTTTTTAAGGTTCAGTCACCCCCAAGTTCAGAATAGTTTGGATGCACTGCAGTGGAGTGCTGTACAGTATTACAAGATTTCGAAATAAGAATATATTTTATTAATATGACGGCTACAAAAACAACCCGCCGAGAAATATACACTGGAAAACAATTTATCAACGGCACGTTAACCACAGAAAGGGATGCGTACACACAATGGAAATTAATATCCTCACTTGTTTTAAGCGTTGTGCACTATTCATTTAGATTAGACTTATCACAGTTCCAATTCTAAGGAGATATGTTGCCATATTACCCACAAGCAGTGGCGTCACTAGGGTTGGTGTCACCCCCCCCCCCCCACCATGGACCTCCGCACGTACCAGACCATACAGAATCCTTAGTAATGTTTTTTGTACTAATGTTACTCGTAAATCGTAATTCCCGTATATCACTGAATGTAATGGCAATAGTAGTGATATAGACAACTAGCAACATTTTAATTACACCTTTAAATTACAATATTCCCTTTAATTACTACTTCGTTCTCAAAAAAGTTATTGATACAGGTTCACAAATGCTAATTACCAAAATATTGTAGCTAAAACACCAGAAAATTCCACAAAATCGGCGACTTTTAAAACACGAGTAGCAACGAAAACAGCAGAGCGTGCAGACGAAACCACGTGACTCGAAAGGTCACCGGAGTTGGGTAATGACGCCTCTGACCGGAACACCATTAAGAAGGTTCAAAAAGGACATTAGCATAGAGTTTTAGCCTTGTAGGTATATATTTATACGGTTACATGTAAGCTGGGCTTACGAAAACAAATTTAGTTATAACTAACTACAGGGATATATATTTTTTATGAAAAAAAATTCTGCTGAAACACTGCAAAGAAATTGTACAGTCATTTTGGTGTCACCACCTCGAATTGTGTCACCCCCTCGCAACCCCCCAGAGACGCCACTGCCCACAAGTCCTATTATCCGAGGGAGCTGTTGGGTCCGCAAAAACTCCAGTTATCCGCGGTCCGATTCTTCGAATTATCCGTAATTTTTTTTTGTTCCTCCGGGATCAACGGCAACGGAGTAAATTACGGGACGATGTCGCGGTGGATAATTAGGATCCGCGATATTCGTCCAACAACATCACCACCACCGTCAATCAAAATAAAATCCTGACATCATCTAGGGTGGCGATTCATGTGCAAAGACTAAAGTGTAAAACGCGTCCGTCCAAAGCAAAGTATGCTGGAAGGCGCTCTGGAAAGTGTGAGTGCGCTACACGTGACCACCAATACACCAACACAATTTGATCGTGTCACCTCCGCAATCCCGCCCTACCCATACTTATTTCACCGGAGGAATTCACCTGAAATGACACGGTACAGCAATTTGGTGGCAGTCTTGCCGTCTCAAACCATTAACAATCACCGCTGTCCCGAAGTCTCCTGACGTCAAAGACTCTTGGAAATGCCAACGCCCTTGGGTTCACCTAAATTCTACTCTGCAACGACCTGCTCGTACATAATAGCTCTCCCCGAAGGGCAAAAGATACCCACAGCATTTTTCACGCAACTACTTGCTGCCGTTTCTTGCAGATTTTAGTGGTAAGGAGATAGGCGTTGAGCGTCATGACAATTTCCACGCCTTGGAACTGTTTTTTTGTTGTATTTAAATCATCATTGTATTTCCGCACTTTTATCACGCGGTTATTTGAAAACATGGCAAGCGCTAAAAAAAATACATATTAAACGGCTGTTTTTGTTTTAGTTTCGGTAAAACATACAAGAAATTACCGCACAATATTCGTTCCATCGGCTTCCCTGTGCAAACAGCACGGTAATCGTGTGTACAGTACTGTAGTTACATTTGTTAATAATTTAAATGATGCGTAACGATGCACAACCCTTTGTCAGTCCACTGCTGGATGAAGGGCTACCCATGCCTTTTGATGGAGAGAGTTGTATGACCACACTCCACCATGCTAGTGCGTGCTGGTATGTGAAGGACTAGTACACAGATATGACTAGACGTTTTAAGTTAGGCATCGTTAGGAGTCGAACTAAGGTCTCCGGGTTTCTAGCGCAGTGCACTTAGCACGTAGCCAGCGCTCCACCCCATTACTTCATACCATCCTATTTAAAACAAAAAGGAAGGTGTAACGTTCATAATGCACATGGGATGGCATGGCCATCTGTGAAAATAGCTTCATAACGCATCGGATTTCTCCAATGTAAATATTCTGATTTAGTGGTCAGTTGCACTGAATTGAAAATATCCATGTCCTTCCTGTATACTGTCATACAATATAGTTACAACACAATTTAGGTGTATTTAAAGAAAGAATAACTTACATACTGAACATAGTTTGTGCATAAGATGATGCAACCATGAATATAGGAGGAAGCTGCGCTTGAACAGGCAGTCCATAGGCACATTTGGCCACGGGGATGGACTTACAGACCATGGGGACATACATCCACTGCTGAATGAAGGCCTCCCCATGTTATTCTCGGTACCGTAATTGTTTAACCATACTAGGTGAATAGAAAAAGGTGGAGGTCAGGACTGGTTCAGATATCACTTGCTATTGATGGTTAACGCCATTGTCTAACGAAATATAACTATTTTAATTTGAAAGCGACCTGGCCACAAATGATCGCTCAAAGAAGTAGCTTAGCATATGTAATTTTATACATCAGCCATATGCTCTAAAAGCATGTTGATTCTAAATCTGGAGGGACAAACCGGAGTACCCGGAGAATAATCCACGAGACCGTGGGGCAAGAGAACACGCAAACTCCAAATATACAGCAGCAGCAGCGGGCGTCAGGGTCGGGATCGAACCCACGTCCTCCTGCATACCTCGCGAAGTAGTTAACATCTCCTAGCCACCCGTGGTTAGGAATTGAACTCTGTTTTTTTTCTGGTGAACACCGCAGTGGACTAGAATAAACTACAGCTGGATTGCGTATCTGTGCAGGACCAAGCCTGCTTAGATTTCGACGATGTACGCATTCCAGATGAACCGGCCATAGGCCAGCCAGGCAAAAACAAAAATTCGGACCCCCCCCCCTAAAAAAACCTCAAAATTGCGATTCGCACTTGTTTCACAGTAATTTTCTGGTTGTCTTTTTGTAAAAGTTATCTGAAATGTATTTTTTTTAAACCACCAAGCGGCCAGCAACAAACAGCACGATAAAATGCGTGCAAATACCCGCGTCTTTAAACTTGTTTTTGTTAACACACACACACAGACCTCGAGCACGTATTGCTTACCCAGGTCGTTGTGTGGGTCGTCCTCTGCGCGTGTTATCTTAATTTCGACCTGGCCAACTTTGTAGTTGGAAACCGACAACCCGGGCCTCGAGGACGCTGCCCCATCCATCTCCACAGACCCAGCCGCTGTGGTCGGAGTTGACGCTGCGTCGCCGAACACTTTGGTAACTGCGTAGCACTTATGTCCCCCCTCCAACTTCACGGAGGTCTTCGTGTCCGTCCAGGTGACCAGCTTCTCCTTTTCGACCTTTGCCTGCTGCTGCTTCTGCTTCTTCTTCCTCGTCGCCGTCTCCTTCCCGGGGGATGTTTTGGCGGAGTCGACGTCTTCTTCGCTGTCACTGCTGGCGCCCAGGGAGTCCGAGCTGCCGTGGTGGGAGCGGAGGGACAGAGGATCGACCAGTAGACTTTCCCTCGACGGTGCCGGCGTCTCCTCGGCCGCGCCATCCGAAACGACTTCGTCGTGGTCATCATCATCATCCTCCTCCTTCCTGTCATTCTTCTCGTCTTCGTCGTGGTCATCATCATCATCCTCCTCCTCCGCCTTCCTGTCATTCTTCTCGTCTTCCTCATCAGAAGAGCGACGTTGGGAGTTGACGTTCTTCATCATCTTGCGCCGGGAGAGGATCGTTTGCCTTTGCTGCTTCGGCTTCACCACCGCCGCCGCCGCCACGTCGGATAGCCCAAGCGACGACGGCGGTGGTGGCGGTGGTGGTGGCTGCTCCCCCTCTACAACATTCGCAGCCTCGTCCCGCTTTCTCGCTCGTCCCCAGGAGGCTGCGTGCCCGGCTTGCCCGTCATCGTCACCCCGGAGGTCGTCGAGAGACCCCGTGGAGCCCGTCCATCGGCCACAATCGTACTGCTTGCTCTCGCGCGCCAGACACGTCTGCAGGTAGATGGCCACGAAGCGCTCCTGCTTGAGCTCCACTTCCAAACGTCGGACCGTGGCGCACGTGGCTTCCAGCTTGCGCGCCAGGTCATTGGTATCACCGGGCTTGAGCCCCAGCCGTGGGGGGTCACGGTCGGGGAACTGCGCCTTCCAAGACGACTCGAATTCGTCCGCATCCGAGCACCGCATCGTTATATATTTTTTTTTTGGGGGGGGGGGGTTGTTTGTTTTCTTAGCAACTTTTACTCACCGCCACACCTGAGAGAGACCTCACGCACACTCACCAACTGCGTGCAGCGTTGCCTGTGACTTCGTGAGCTTCCTGGTCAACCACAGCCCTGACTTCTTGGTATTGTGTAGTAGTAGTGTTGTTGTTGTCGATGATGATGATACGACAGGAATACGATCCTTGTTACGTCCCTCCAACCTTCCCCTCCCCCCGTCACCTCCCCCTCCCCTTCTCTCCACCAACCTCAATGAAAGAAACAACGTCCGTTTCTGCTGTTGTTCGGTAATAACAAATAAAACAAAAACAAAAAAAAACACAGACACGCAACGAGAAGTTGTGCTTAGTTTGATGAGCTCACGCACGTGCGCGTGTGTCTTTTAAGTTTGCTGCTCCGAAAGAGATTCGCTGCGATGCTCTTCTGCTTGAGTGAAGAGTGCTTCTGGCTTCTTATTATTCTTCTTCCTGCTTATTCTCGAAGGGAAGTTGACGTCAATGGTGGGTGATGGAGAGGTGGGTGGGGTGGGGTGACTTACAAACTCGCACGCAGGTGGCGCTTTAACAACCAGCAGCAACTACCACCACCTCGGAATTTAGCCGTAGGAATGTAGCAACGGGCGCGCCACCTACTTTAGGGGCCGTCCATAAATGACGTCACGCGATTTTTGACGATTTTTGACCCCTCCCGTCGTCGTCGTCACACGACGTCACAAAAAGTCAAACCCCCCCTCCTCAAATATGACGTCACAAAGCTCTGCCTCCCCCCCCCACCACCAAAAGCATATTTAAATTTTAAAAATAAAACATGCTTCAAATCGCTTTAAACTATTGTCATTGTAGCGCGTATTTAAAGTGGCGCTGCCACTCTAATGTTGTAGGAGTGTTGTTATAACAATTAGTGTTGTTATAACAAATCTATATTTAAAGTTGCGCATTTTGATGTGACGTCACATTTCTCAAACCCACCCCCCACCCCACCCCCTCGTCACACGTCGTCACAAATGTCTGACCCCCCCCCGCCCCTAGGTGCGTGACGTCACTCACGGACGGCCCCTGAATACTGCGCTGCGCCTGCGTGCGTTCAGAAATTAATCTCGGTACGCGCACGTGTGCGTGTGTGTGTGCGTGTGCCAGGTGGATCATTGCCGCGCAGGATCGCGATGTTGGTGGCAACGGCTTGGAGAGGACTTTGATCCAGCAGTTGATTGATCGCCGGTTGACGGCCGCTAAGTGCTGTTGGTTGTACGTTGAACTTCTTTAGCCGACCGTTGCTGATCGGAGGTAATTGTGTGTGTGTGTCGGTCCTTCCTCCCCCCCCACCTCGGCCACAGGTGGCTAGAGCACTTTGTGAACATTGGAACTTGCACAGGCGGGAAGAGAGTCCTTGACACCCCGACACAAGAGAGACGCGGAGACTTGGGGAGAGACAGAGGGGCATGGGGAGAGGGGACACGGACAGATGTGAAGTCACAGACACTGAGCTGGACAGAGGCATGGAGAGAGACGCATAGAGATTGACAACACAGTGGCACCGTGTCACAGACACAAACAGAGGTATAGAGGGAGAGACACAAACATTGACCAGTTATAGAGACCAAAATACACGAGAGAGACAGACACAAACACGGAGAAAAACTCACAGCATTGTATTAATTTGGGAAAATTAAGTTAAACAAAAACATGTTTGTTTTTTTAAATAATTGGTAACCTTGGATAGACAGTGATCTCGGTTTGATTCTGAGCATGCACATCCCAATGCTTATTTGCACACCTTTCGTGCTTTGGTTCCATTCTCTCTGGCAATGTACATGCTTCTTTTCCACGTCATTGCAGGTGACATACACAATCATGAAATACGTTCTTCTTTCGACACGTGTGCAGGAGCTGTATGGATTGTTGCATTCACAAGATCATGAGAAATGGCGACAGCTTGACGAGGCCCTCATCCTACAGCGGATAGATCATGACTATTGATGCCTGAAACCCAGATCTGTTTAAGAAATACGCTAATTCAGCTTCAAGAGCTTTGTTGTTTAAATGGTGATGCAACCGAGTGCGCGAAAAGTTCACGGAACGTGACGTAGAATTGGAATTTCCACCCAAAGGCTTAAACGAACATCTTCATGCCAGAAATTTTTAAACTTTTGTTGAAGTAATTAATGTCCTGTAGACTACACGAATGCAGCTAAATATGAACAATAATCCGACTCTAACGTCAATCTCGACGTTTCATGAGGGTCTTGCATTGTTTTGGTCAATTCCATTCAAGAGTGGTTACCTATTTTATCAACCTTAGATATGATGATTGTTCATCCCAATGAATATGACAATGATGATGCTAAGAATTACGATGCTATTCAATGTATGTGTAAAATGACTACAGTATTTCAGAACGCACATTTACTCAACAGCCCTCATTCAATCCACTGCTGGATTTCGCATGCCATGTGGGTCATGGTGTTTAATGGACCGCACTGATTCAACAATGACAATACTATGTGTCTGGTTTGATCGTGTTAAGGACTTGCCCGGCTACATTTTTGTAATTGGGTAAACGTTTACCGGAGTGCCGACTGCGACATTCTGAGCATACACTAAAACATCTGTACACGCTGTATATCCACATCACAAAGCAAACGAGAAAACACAATTCTCTCCGAATATGTTCCAGGTCGCTTGGAGATTGTAGGTGTAACCATTAGCCACAGCTATAACGAGAGGTATGTTGAATAATGTAGTGCCGTGTGTAGAAATTTTCCGGGTCATAGACCTAGATAGACATGCCCGGCAGAAATTTAAAAAAATGTAAACTCTGGGTGCATGGAGAGTATACTTCAGCTGGTCTCCCCATCATGGGAGAGTGACTTGAAGTTACATCGAGGTTAATCAGTAATTCCCTCCAGGGACTATTAAATACCACACACATGGTGAACACCACGAGGTGGAAACTATTGCGCCAACGCTTTGACTTTATACAAGAACATGGCATTTCACTGCTTGACAACCACGAGTTGAAATTAGAACTGCTTCAGCAATGACAAACCTGACTTGTGAAGTAGTTTTGTTACACTTCATTCCGATAAATTACTGTATGGAAGTTTTCATCTTTGCGCTATGGGGCCGTTCATAAATGACGTCACGCACCTAGGGGGGGAGTCAGACATTTGTGACAATGTGTGACGAGGGGGGGGGGGGACAAATGTGACGTCACATAAAAATGCGCAACTTTAAATATGTAATTGTTATAACACTGTTATAACACTCCTACAACGTCAGTGCCGCGCCAGATTAAATACGCACTACAATGACAATAGTTTAAAGCGATTTGAAGCATGGTTTATTTTCAAAATGGAAATATGATTTTGGGCGGGGGGAGGGCAGAGCTTTGTGACGTCATATTTGAGGGGGGGGGTCTGACTTTTTGTGACGCCGTGTGACGAGGGGGGGGGGGGGGTCAAAAATCGTCAAAAATCGCTTGACGTCATTTATGGACGGCCCCGATGCAGCTCTCCGTAGTGATTTAAGGTTGTACAGTGTTGTTCGGAACAGTCTAACGTTTCCGTTAAAGTAGGTGAGTTGTTCAGCATGGCGATTATTCTTGCAAATCAAACGTATTTTTTTCTTACCTGCTTAAACAAAGTAAATTTTAAACTTCATGTCCAACGTGTCGCTGCACATGCTGAAAACTAAATGCCAAGACGTACCAAACGGAAAAATATATATTAAGAAATTCATTGTAAAGTCTAGTGACGTACGTGTGTAGTGGGTTCAACTGAGACGTACTCTTCAACCCGGAGGCAGTGCATTTTATTCTTTAACACAACCAGACAACTTAGCACAACGACCTAGGGTGGTGACCACCCTGGATAACTACGTGACAACTAACGTGGACCGGTGCTAACAAAATACTGCTCGGACCACGTGCTTTAAGACTCGCGGGCCGCAGAACGGAGACGAAGGGTTTCTTCTCCGGGGTGGACAGCCCAGAACCCTCTCGGGGTTCGGCTGATATTCTCTCCGGCGTGACCTGCTCCACCCCTGCCAACGCCTCCCTTCCAGAACCTTCCCGAAGAACCTCGGTTCCATCACGTGACTCTCACAGCCCCTTCCTTGGGGGCCCCTCTGTTGCCTTAACTGGTCACGTGTCCACCCGGGTCAACTAGACTGTCATGGCCTTGCCCGACCTTCCCTTCGGGTCGGCACACACCTTGCCCGCTCGGGCCGGTACTGCCCTTACAGCCTGGTGACATCCCCTTGATGTCATTACCCGCACAGCATGCTCCTCTAGGGCCGGTACTGCACCCACACCATGGTGACATCTATGAAGTCACTACACGTGTACAAAGGACTTTGGACCTCTATTTAGGCGCATGACATTCAGATTTTTTTTTTAAACCAGGCTCAGTGGAAAAGGTTCAAGTGCTTTGGGAAATGGTATTTGATTGTATCACCAGTAATCCTATGTAATACGTTAGCCCCACTTGGGGATCCTTGGTCAGCAGCCCCCACCCCACACACATTTAAAGATTACTGGTGTTGAAACAGAATTAACCTCACAAAGTTTACCTTCCTTCAAAAGAATTGTATTCATTAACACAAAAGCCTTGACGTAAGGTTGAGAGTACATACTCTTTGGGTCTTTCGGTAAAGTCACGTGCCGAGGCAGTCCGCCCGTTGTATTTTTTCACCTGAAGACGATTGCTTGCGTTGCGATCAAAACGTCGTGTTTTATTTTTTTTTCTATCTACGTGACTTTACCGAAAGACCCAAAGAGTATGAATTCCTGCAGTCACGAAAGCTTTAAGTTGAGAGTAAAGTTTTCTAGTTTATTGCAGAGGTCAATTCATTTGAATGTATTGACCGGGTAATTTTTAACAGCCTAAACCTTTACTCCCAATTCAGAATAGATTGCACTCAGAAGTTTGCATATTCATTTCAAGGTTAACAACAGACATTCCAAGTTAGAAAACAAATCAAGTTTTATTATTTTTTAAAAATGTATTTAACATGACAGATCTGAATGAAAATGAAAGCTAAACTCATCGCAAACAACTCAAGTATGTTTCAACAATGACAGCTGTTCTAAAAAGAGCTGCATGTGATGGGGGGGGAAACACGTAACGTATCTTCCTTGAAAAACAATGAAAACACTAAACACAGTTTTGACCCCAAAACAAACAGAAGCGGCAAAAGTATATTTTCCAAAATGTCAAGAAGTGTAATGATAATTGGTTTCATCATATATATGCCATCTTTAAAAATACCATAAACAATGAAGGTAAATTACAAGATGCTGGGAACAGTGTAATGTTTAACATTTGGCTTTATGGATACAGTATTAAATAGTATTAACGCTTCAAGAGCAATATCCAATTATACCATATAGTTTAATGTTTAAAAAAAATACATACAAAAGGAAAACTATATGCTACACAAAGTTGAATATCTATGGGCAGAGAGACGTGTGTCCAACTTCCAGGCAATATTACAGCAGCTGTCTTGATGAGGAGTGGCAGAAAGCTACCAAGCCGGAGCAGTGTTGGCCAGTCGTCGCATACGCCTGTGTAACAGAAGTGCAGGAAGAAGCATAAAAATAGTTAACAGCAGTTAAGAATATTGTAAAGGAACAGGGTACAAAGTTAATAAATATTACATGTTATAAACAAATAATACACACACATTTGTGTCATTACGTAAGTCTACGTGGTTTGAAGGCAGCATGCACGTGGATGCATAGAAAAGAACACAGTACAATATCCACTGCCCTCTGTTGCCGACCACGCAGCCTGATCGCCTATAACAACCAGTTAAATTTGGCGGTCACTTCAAATTACGGATCAGGCTGAACTTTGCTTCAGTACCGCAATTTCATGACTGGGCAGATTCCAGGTGAATAAATATTACGTGAACAAAAATACAGCATCAGTATAGCATTGATGCTTTGCCTATTTTAAGTACAGGACATGTGTATAACTGAAATGACTGATCTTATAAATTGGCTGTCACTAAGAAAATTACAAATATAATCGACTTGGTTTTCTTCATGTAAACTTATTGCCACAAACTCATACCGAGTGTTCCTGTCCTGGTCCCGAATCTTCTTCTCCATCTCAGCATCAGTGAGGGTCTCCAGGAAGGGGCACCAGGCATCGGCATCGCCAGCATTCCGGATGGCAATCTCCACTATCGGCAGCGGGTTCTCACTGAAAAAAAAAAGCACACGTTATTAATAATAATAGCGTGAGAATCGACAATGGCAATGACGAAACCACGAATACAACCCTAGGAGGATATTCACTTACGTGCCAAACACGTAACACATCCAATGGTTAATAAAACATTCACACGCACCTTTTGCAAGGGCGTGGCACCGACCTGAAGGCATACGTGCGCTGGTGCCAGCTGAGCTGGCCACGGATGCTGTAGGCAATAGTAGTGACAAACTCTCCACCCAGTCCCAGCTCCGAGCAAAGCCGGAGCGCAAACTTTTCCGGCGAGTTCTCCTTCTCTGCCATGTCCCATTCAAACTGATCCACCAGCGAGATGTTCCCCACGTGGATATTGAGCTGTTTACAAACGAGAGAGAGACAATCAGGTTAGATTTCATGTTCACAAAACAAATCAATGCACGGTATTCAAAGCATATGCCACTGGGGCGGAAAGATCTCCACTAGAGGAGCTCGAGAGAGCCCCTCTTGTGGCTATTTTGGCCTATTCTTCCACGCTGGCAGAGGTGGGAGCAACCAAACCCTTCACCACATGCAACCTGTCGATCGACTGTAGTGTACCCATTCATACTGCATGATCAAAACCTTACACGTGCATTTCAGAATTCGTAAAGTGGGAATTTCAGTAGGCCTTTTTCCATAAAGCCACCCACATAATTGTTATATAAAATGGTTTCTCACATGCTTAATTTTTCGAGTTGTGAATACATACCGCATATTTAATTTTAAAAAAAAATCTACCGTAACGAAATAAAAAGATAAAGATGCAGCCCTATAATTATCTTAAGTTACTGCTGAAGGAAGTGCTTCCACTAGACAGCCCCGAGGGCATTTGGCATACTCTTCCACGATGACCAAACATCCTGGTAGATGTGGGAATACTCACTTATAACTATCTGTGACAACTGTGGAGAACTACAAAGGTGGTTGCAAGCTTGCAAATGAAATACCTTGACGATGACCCGCTGGTCACTCTGGTCGTCGAGGATGCTGTCAGTAGGGAAGGCCTCCACTTGGCTGCGAATCGCAGCTGCGATGGATGGCACAAAACTCAGCGGGTTCAGATCCAGGTCGTCGCACAGGATCTCGGCAAACATCTCTGGCGTGATCAGCTTCTCTGGAAATGAAAACAATCATCATCACTGCTCTCATCTACAAAGCACACTGAAAACTAATTTCTTTAGCACTGCTTTTAGTGTTTCGTTTGTTGTCCTTCCCCCGCACTTCCGATCATAGCACGGTTGGCTACGTATGGTGCGAAAAAAATGTCACATACATACCACAGTTTTTTTCATCTGACAATGATGCATGTTAGCTGTCTACTATGCACTTAACAGGTCCTTGCAGGGTGGGCTGGTAGGAACATTGGAATTTTTTTTACACCCAACAGCACGAGATTTCACTTCGTTAAAGTATTGAAAGGGGACGGACGGACGCATTAATCTATTGCAGGCTGGTACACTCAGTTTACAACTTCGTTCCTACCAGTAAGAGTCACATATATTATCATAGTATGTTTTTTATTTGCATTTTGACTGCAGGTATTGTGGTTAATGCAGACATGAATCCTTGTAAAAAGGTTTCAGTTTTAATTGCCAGAAAAAAAGGGGAAAAACCCTATTCTTATAGTCACAATAGTGTTATATAATGGTGCAAATTGTACAATCATATTTATATTTTCTTTTTTTATTGTTTTATATATATTTTATTATTTTATTGTTTCCCTTCAACGTGACTTTACCGAAAGAGCTAAGAATATATATTTTCTTTGTTGGACAACATTACACAACAGAGACGTGTTCAATGTATTCAGCCCCAATATCATGGTTTGAGTCATAATAAAGTTAATGAGTTCTCACCATGCATGTTCCACGTAAAAGTGTCTCTGAGCTTCTGTCCATCGATCTCCATGTCCAGACGAATGGGCACCAGAATTTCGGACTGCATCGCGTTCTCATGAATCACTGCCGGGTCGTGGTCATCGAAACTGTCACACAAAATGTATAGTGCATAAATAGTTTTGTAATTGCACTTTCCTTATAATTCAAAGTTCAAGATGTCACCATGGCCAAAGCTGTCAAAGACAACACGGCTCGCCAACACTTGCAATCTCAGATCCCACAAATGCTGCACAGTAGACCCATGACCTTCAACGATATGCCCTGACAGTATCCCACCATCTGCTCTGAGGCATTCTTCCTTAGTCACCAGACATGTGGGGACCATTCCAACGCCTGTCTCGGTCGCCAGCCATCCTCCACACCTGTCCTATCCAGTGCAAATGTGTTTTTCCTTTTATCTACAACAATTACATGCCGTGTTCCCTTTCAGACTTACACATTGCTTATCAGATCTTGGCATGAAATTATTTGCATTATCTAAGAAACCTGTGCACAAATGCTCACATCTTTCAAACTGCTTAGTCTCACTCTCTGAACCATGCTGTAATACAAACATAACTCCTAACTAAAATACCCTTCTATTTACACTTACCTCTCTTGACAGTTAGCACCAGTTACACCACAATGTAACCGTGTGCATGCACGTTTGAAAGGTACTCTTGATGGACAACGTACCAGAGCGGGAAAGTGCGCTTTTTGTCGCGGCCCATGCGGTTGCGGTTAATGGGCGTGGAGCAAGGCACTGCGTCGAGATGGTGAGAGCTGTTGGGCATCGCTGGCACCCACTGGTTCGGCCGCTTTGGCTTCTGCTCTCTGAAAAGTGCCGACGAGTCACTCATTAAAGAACCAGCCAAACATCCGGTGCAGGAAGCTAAACAAGCTGGTACCAAGCTGTCCGATGGATTAAGTGATTTTATTTGAAATAAATTACGATTGCAAAAGTGACTGAAGGCTTTGTAGGCTTCGTTCCTCAAGCACCGAATCACTTCTTTACATTAGGTACAGTGCTGTGCTCTATCCATTCGGCGGCGCACAACTCACCATGAACATAGTTCAAATGTTTTCATCACCTTATAGTTTGTACATAACACATTAATGCTAAAGCTGCCAAGCTTTTTCCGGATAAAATGTCTCCTTGCTTTCCTCTACATTCCATAAATAAGTGCTGCCCGGCAGACAAATGTATTATGTTGTACGTAAGCATATCAGACATAAGGCTGTCTCAACTGCAAGGCAGCCAATGTAGGAGAAAAAAACTAAGATAGTTAATTTAATTGAGAAGCGGACATAAATCAGGGGAACAAACTATAGCTGGCCACAATTTCTTCACGAGTTTATTCTCTTGCTGCATTTTTTAATTTGGTTTTGCATCATCTCACAGCTCACCGAAGGTAGGCAGGTGGCTCAGTGCTAATGGAGACTGCTTTGTATTTGTCATCATTGCCTTCCAGGATCTCCTCCACCTCGCAGGCCTTGAGCAATGTCACACTGGTGGCCAGGGTTGTGTAGCCATGGTCTGTATAAAACATCAACAAATGTCAAGCACGTGGGATATGTTTATTCGTCAAAACATCTCCATTATGAATTTTGACACAACAAAACATAGTGGCACCATGGAATTAGGTTGCAAATTAAAAAAAATCTTAGCTCTCACCCTGATGATAACACTTATCAGGACTATAAGAATAGGTTTTACCCTTTCTGGCAATAAAACAGGTGTTAAGACGTTAAAACACCAAACAGAAACCTTTAGCAAGGAATCATCAGGACTGTTAGGGTTAAACTTGTTAGAAAGCAAGGATAACACTGTTGAGCTAATCTATAAGTTTTGGGGGAAAATTTGGACTCGAATTTAATTTATTGTCGCCCACATCCAGTGGGCACCTTCACATCTGATAATAATCTCATCCCGCCATCGCAGTGTCTGTCTACATCTCTTCATCATTCCCTCCATTACCCCCATTTACATTCTTAACTTCTCACATCTGTCATCCGACGTCCTAGCCCGATGCACCTCCGATTAGCAGGGTTGGCTATGTACGGTGCGAAAGAAGTTCAACATACAGTATTTACATACATGCCCTGGGCTCATAATCATGCAACCATACTATCCTTGCCCTTGCACTGTCCCTATTCCCATATCTGTCATCTGACACGCTCCCTTTGCTCCTGCAATGTACCCATTCCCACTCCTGTCGTCTGACGGACTGCCCTTGCCCCTGCAGTGTCCACATTCCCACATCTTTCGTCTGATACGCTTGCCTTGCCCCTGCAATGTACCCATTCTCACATCTGTCGTGTGACGCCCTCCCCTTGCCCCTGAAGTGTCCACATTCCCACATCTGTCGTCTGATGCCCTCCCTTGCCCCTGCAGTGTCTACATTCCCACATCTGTCGTGTGACGCCCTCCCCTTGCCCCTGAAGTGTCCACATTCCCACATCTGTCGTCTGATGCCCTCCCTTGCCCCTGCAGTGTCCACATTCCCACATCTGTCGTCTGATTCCCTCCCTTGCCCCTGCAATGTCCACATTCCCACATCTGTCATGTGACGCCCTCCCCTTGCCCCTGAAGTGTCCACATTCCCACATCTGTCGTCTGATGCCCTCCCTTGCCCCTGAAGTGTCTACATTCCCACATCTGTCGTGTGACGCCCTCCCCTTGCCCCTGCAATGTCCCCATTCTCACATCTGTCGTCTGACGTCCTCGCCTTGCCCCTGCACTGTCCCCATTCCCAACGGCTCGTCGCCTCACCGTGCGACGAGGCGACGATCTTCTTGCGCTCGTCCATTGTGGCCAAACGGCGCCATAGCGAAGGGTACTTTTTGTACAGGGAGCCCCTGAACATGCGCAGGTAATTCCCCACCTGCAAACAAACAGACGAATGAACGACTCAATGACACAAAAATGTACGTAACATTTTTTCTTCTCTGGTAACCAAAAACCCGACCTGGGCCTCTCCCCTTCAACTCGCAATGACCAGAGTGGTGAAGTATGGTCAAAAACCTCCCAACACTGGCAGCGGGGAAGTCTTTATTCAACAGTGGAATAAGAAAGGACCCAGACTCTACATTACAATTAAATGTAATTACCATACGTACGATAAAAAAAATATCCACAAATTACAATGAATAATGGCTGCGGCCTGGCGGTAACAGGCTCATCCACCGAGCTCGCCTGGCCACCCCGCGGGGAAACCCGTCCCGAACCTCGGCGGCCCATTCAGACGAGGCCGGAGTCCGAGCGAGTTGTGTCTCGGGTCAAACGTGCAAGTATCTCCCTCGATCCGGTCGGGGGTGAAATGTATTTTGTGTACGTCTGCTCCCTCACCTCGGAGCCGATCATGAACCATTCTCCGGCGTCCTCGAGTTGGAACTTAATGGGTTTGGGCCCGTACGTCCGACTAAGCGCCATTGTTCCCGCGTAGAAACAGCGGCGCGGATGAAGATGGCGATTCTGATTCCTAAAATGTTAGATTCACAAAATCGATTTGGTGAATCGATGAGCGAGTGTGAATGCGTTTCGTTACGAAATGAGAATACATTTTTAAGTGTGCGCAGCATTAAGTAAAAGGATTATCTTTGTGAAGGTGTTCCCCTTTTAGCACGCAGCGCATGCGGAACATATTTCAGCTGACCGCGAAGCCGGTTATATCGTGGAATCGATTAATGCATTTAACGTTGGAGAACTAGTGAGAATCTAAGATTGCATAAAGAGATAACGATTCGATGAGAAAATAGAAACCAATGTTTTACAACGCGAGTTTATCGTAAACAAAGTGGTATCGATTACAATGCGGAATCGATTCCATATGCCAGTAACCACATTGTTGAGTTACTATAAGAATTGGTTTCACCCTTTCTGGCAATAAAACAGGCGTGTTAAGATGTTAAAACACCAAACTGAGACTTTTTGCAAGGAATCATGTCTGCATTAACCACACATACTAACACTGTTTGAGACGAGGCTCTACAGAAAGCTGTCTCTGGTGTGGACCAATCCGTTTAAACGACAATGCATATACAAAATATGTTATTGCTGTGGTTTTCACACCTGATGATGATTGCTTGTGTTGCAGTCGAAACGTCGTGATAATTTTATCGTTTATATTTTTATTGTATCCCTTCTACGTGACTTTACCGAAAAAAAACAAGAATAAAAATGCTTATACTATCAGAGCATTTTGATTTAAAGCTTTCGTGACTGCAGGGATTCATATTCTTGGTTATTTCGGTAAAGTAACTTAGAAGGGAAACAATAAAATAATAAAAATATAAAACAATAAAATTCTCACGACGTTTCGACTGCAACACAAGCAATCATCATCAGGTGTGAAAACCACAGCAAGGATTTTTTTTTAAAAAGTGGCGTTTTTTGTTTTAACGTTAAGAAAAAAAACGCCACGTTTTCAAAAAAATTACTGCTGTTGTTTTCACACCTGATGATGATTGCTTGTGTTGCAGTCGAAACGTCGTGAGAATTTTGTTTTATATTTTTATTATTTTATTGTTTCCCTTCTACGTAACTCTATCAGAGCATGTGTTTTTTTTGCATGTTCACACTTCACAAGTATATGTGGTTAATGCAGACTTGTTTCCTTGCAAAATGTTTTAGTTTGGTGTTCTAACATCTGTTTTAATGCCAGTTGGGTAAAACCTATTATATTTTGATACTGGCAAAGGGAGGTCCCATGACATTGAGTTAAAACGGACAATCTATCATGGACCATAATACAGCGTGCTTCAATATAATGTTAACACTTTATATGGGACTCGTTTTTAACGGAAAATAACGGATAATTTACGTATTGTAACCCCCCCCCCCAAAAAAAAAAACCTGTATTATGGACTCTTGAGCTGTGTGACATGAAAGGAAGGGGTATACCTTCAGATTCAACCATCCGTGATCAACACCATTACGATACAGTCCTTGGTAATGCTGCTAATTTTTCATGAAACCAAAAATAATTTTACCAGGTAAGGCCCACTGAGCTATATAACATAGTGGATATTTTTCAGAAGCGAGCTGGCCACGAATGATAGCTCAACGAAGTGACTGTATCGTGTGGAAATGTATAGCAAAAGCCAAATCACTCTCAACGCACGTTCACTGTGTTGGAAGTGACCATATAACAAAATACAAATAAACGCATTCTTCAATAATGCTGCCTTCTTAACGCAATTGTTTTTTGTTGTGCGATGAAGGGCCATTGCCCGAAACGTCGCCTCGTTGTATTTTAAGGCCATAACTTGTCAACCCCTTATTAGTGCCCTACCTTTATTACATACCAATTCAGACCTTATTGGTCACCCAGTGCCCGTTATAAATCTCAACGTTCATCCTACAAAGTCCCATCACAAGGGAGAAATAAAAACAAAATAGACAAAAAACAAAATTGTTGCCGGTATTGAAACGGCTGTACGCCGTATGGACCTAAAAACTCTATTTCCCTGTACAAGAATAGGGGGGGGTTAATCCCTATGAGGTTGACTGCTATGTTAAGGCCACGTTTAACACGTAGGCTTTCGCGACCAATATCCATAATATAGGGTTTATTATCACGTAAATAGATAAATGTGTCGTTAAACCCGCCACCACCCGACAAAGCCAATTAGTAAGGTATTTGTCACGTAAACAGAACGTGCCAAATGCCAATGCGTCACTAGTGCAGCACACCGGCTGTGTGTTGGATAGCAAATCCACAACATGTACAATCTGAGTACGACGTTTCGCCAGTAAGGGGCCGTCCATAAATGACGTCACGCAATTTTGGACGATTTTTGACCCCCCCCCCCTTTCGTCACACGGCGTCACAAAAAGTCAGACCCCCCCCCTCAACTATGACGTCATAAAGCTCTGCCCCCTCCCCCCCCCCCCCAAAATAAAACAATCTTCAAATCGCTTTAAACTATTGTCATTGTAGCGCGTATTTAATGTGGCGCTGCACTCTGATGTTGTAGGAGAAAACATTTATTAAAAAGAAGTCTATTTAATTAAGTAGAACGTGTGGTCTATATTTATTTAAAGTTGCACTTTTTGATGTGACGTCACATTTCTCAAACCCCCCCACCACTCGAGGTCTCGCGAGATCGCGGGCGAGGTCTCGCGAGATCGCGCGCGCGAGGTCTCGCGAGATCGCGCGCGCGAGGTCTCGCGAGATCGCGCGCGCGAGGTCTCGCGAGATTTTGGAGCAAAACAAAAAGATGGCAGCGTCCACGAGTGAGCGTGCGGCCTGGTTGGTGGTTCTCCGTCAATTGCGAACGCGCACGCTTCGATATTTGCAATCTGTCACGGTTACAATACACCCACTCTCTCGTGTAATGATGTTGACGGCGGACTTAAGCATTAGATGAAATTGCACGCGGGTTCAGTGGTCTCCCACTGCGCTATGAAGCCAACGACGTGAGTTTGATTCCCGGCCACGGCTTAACACGAGTGTCAAATTGTATCTGACCTGGCCTTGAGGCCTCTCCCTTCAATGTGCACTGCCTAATACGTGGTGAGAAATGGTTGAAACGAGCCCCCATAACCAATTGGGCGTAAGGAGACCGTCCAGAAATGGTTTGACATTTGGGAACGTCTCAATTGGCATTTGCTAGAAGACTTGGAAAATGTCCTGCAGTCAATATATTTGAGGAATGACGATCCTAATGCATTTGTAAACAATGACTAAATTACGTCCGTCCGTAATTAAAAATAAACACGAACAGTTAAGTCAATACTTAAACCAACTACAGATACGATTTCACTGCCCCAATGCGCGTTCGGTACGCAGATGTGGCTGTTGAAGCTACAGTTTGCAAATGTCTTATTTTATTGATTAGGTGGCTACACCAACCACAACTGTCAATCTTCTTTGGTACTTTCGGTAAAGTCACGTAGAATGAGAATAAAATAATAAATTGATAAAATAAAATAACAATAAAATTCTCACGACGTTTCGGCCACAACACAAGCGGCCTTCAGACAGTCTCGTCCCTTCACCTGATGAAGGCCGCTTGTGTTGTGGCCGAAACGTCGTGATAATTTTATTGTGTTATTTTATTTTATCAATTTATTATTTTATTCTCATTCTACGTGACTTTACCGAAAGAACCAAAGAAGATGAATCCTTGCAGTCACGAAAGCTTTAAATCGAAACACAACTGTCAATGTTTTTTTACAGAACCACGTGGATGATGTCCCTTCCACACTGCCGTGCGCTAAGAACTTTGTCTTTCCGTTTTCTGTCCAGAATTACTGCTGTCCCATAAGCTGACACCGAAGCCAAGACTGTGAGCTGAGAGCAGCAATCCACTACGAACCTTCTCATTCGTGATCTGCCTCTGCTGCAAGCTGGCAATAGTTGTGAGTTGGCGTTACTGTAAACTGCCACAACAGACGGACTGTCTCGGAAGCGAGGCTTTTTTTATATTTGTTAGCTGTGGATGTGTTCCCACTCGTAAGCCCTCGCAAGCAATAAGCAGTCTTGGCCGTGACGATGCGTTTGCCCAGCGGCCTGCGAGCTGCATTGCGGCCAGTGGCGGCCGGGTTGCACTCCCGGATGGCATTTTGCGACGCCAAACAGGAGGACGAGGCCCCGACAGCGACGAAGTACGTGGGACGCAACGCCAAGCCCAAGGGCCGTGTGTTTGTATGGGGCTTCACCTTCACGGGCGCCCTGGGCATCCCAAATTTCGTGTCGCCCGTGTCCAAGAGGCACAAGCCCCGGAAGATACAGTTCACGCCGCACCGGCTGGAAACGGATGACAAGGTACGGCACATTCTGATGATTACACATCAGTCACATTTTCGAGTTATCTGCCAAAGGGCAGGTTCTTAAAATGTATATGTGAAAACAAAAATCACCTTCATTTTATAAATATCCTGGACTTATTCTTAGTTTTTTCGGTAAAGTCACGTTGAAGAGAAACAAACAAAATAATATAATATATATAAAACAATAAAAATTCTCACGACGTTTCAACTCAAACGGTCATCTTCAGGTCTTCAGGTGTGAAGATGACCGTTTGAGTTATGGTCGAAACGTCGTGAGAATTTTTATTGTTTTATATATATTATATTATTTTGTTTGTTTCTCTTCAACGTGACTTTACCGAAAAAACTAAGAATATGAATTACTGCAGTCACGAAAGCTTTAAATCAAAATTTTTATCCTGGACTTGTTTGTTTCTCCTGCAATATCACTCGTATGCTTGCTTTGTACTCCGTGACATCATTTACTGATTTCGATTTAAAGCTTTCATGACTGCAATGATTCATCTTCTTTGGTTCTTTCGGTAAAGTCACGTAGAATGAGAATAAAATAATAAATTGATAAAATAAAATAACACAATAATATTCTCACGACGTTTCGGCGTGAAACGTCGTGAGAATATTATTGTTTCGGCGTGAAACGTCGTGAGAATATTATTGTGTTATTTTATTTTATCAATTTATTATTTTATTCTCATTCTACGTGATTTTACCGAAAGAACCAAAGAAGATCATTTACTGATGTTCTCTAAAATGTAGTTCAAAAGAATGGCAGTCGTGCATGGTCTATCATTGTATGTGTCAATACAACTTATATTTAGCTCTTCGTTGCGTTTTCGGCACGATGTGCGACGTTTCATTCCAGGTGTTGGGAGCTACTTCAGAAACTGTAGACAATATAATAAACTCCCAGTACGTGGAACGAAACTGTGGACATCATGCCGAATAATATGCGATGCAACTCGAAAACACATCTTTTTTTAACTAAACAGATACATCCACATGAATGTTTCCTAAAACCCGTTGTGAAAAACAGATCATCTCGGCAGCATGTGGTTATGGATTCACTCTGCTGGCCTCCAAAACCAAGGACCTCACCAAGCTGTGGGGTGCAGGGTTGAACATAGACTCACAGATCGGCTTTCACAGGAGCCGGAGTGACAGAAGTGAGTTAATCGGTTTTCTCATTTGTGAGTTACCAGTGAATTACTAGAGGCAGAATGTTGTAATGGCCAAACTTATCAAAATATACTTTTTATAATCTCAAGGTCATAGGTCTATCATTGACCTATTAGGTTAAGGTTAGAATGAGGAGTAGTTTTGTAATGACCAAGGTTAGGAAATATTTCTATCATTTAAATGTCAGATAACTATAATGTTTGATTGTAAACAAATTAGATGACAGTTTTCCTGCTCTCTTACGAGCAATGACAGCAGCCGTGAACGCACTCACATTTTTTAATGCTTTTTAAGAAGGTTTAAAGCGTTCCTACATTTACTCTTTTTAACCTTTTACAGCGAAGAGTTACGATTACATCCTCGAGCCATCGCCGGTACCGCTTCCGCTGGTGGAGCATCAGCAGACGCGCGTCTTGCAGGTGGCGTGCGGAAGAGCGCACTCCCTGGTCCTCACCGACAACGAAGGAGGTGCCAACGGGACGAGGCAGGGGGGGGGCACGTGACTACAGAAATCGTGTGCTTTAAAATAAGACATTATTTGATTGGGTGACGCTGCCGTGGGTTTGTAATGCAGAGATCGTTGGTTCGATTTGATCTCCCAGCGCGGCAGTTGTATCAACGGAAACGATTCTTAAGCACCCTAGTGATACAAATGAGTAGTGTAGTTAATCACACCAAGCCAGTGTGGAGTAGAAGCTCTTCCACCAGCAGTGACGTGAGCAGACAATTGCAGTATTTCGATTTAAAGCTTTCGTGACTGCAAGGATTCATCTTCTTTGGTTCTTTCGGTAAAGTCACGTAGAATGAGAATAAAATAATAAATTAATGAAATAAAATAACACAATAAAATTCTCACGATGTTTCGGCCACAACACAAGCGGCCTTCATCAGGTGAAGGGATGAGACTGTCTGGAGGACAGCGCTCGCTTTACCGAAAGAACCAAAGAAGAATTGCAGTATTGTCTACTGAGATCTTCTCTCTCATCAAGTGAGAATGGGGTAATGCAAATTGCCCTTGCAAACCCTGAATGAGTGGTGGAAATTCCACATCAGTATGCCAACGGTCATTCTATCCACATGACACTTCCCACAAAGTGATATTCTTGATATGGAATCATGAGTAATGGTAAAGAATTAATGCATATTTTGTCGATGTAGAATAAATGCGATTACTTATTTATATAATATATTTTTTCTGCAGTCTTCAGCATGGGAAACAACGCTTATGGCCAGTGTGGGAGAGTAATTATTGAGGATGAAGTTTATAAGTAAGTACTTTATTGAATAATATACGATTGCATTCACTTTTAAGTATTATAATTATCAAATTCATGTGTAACGCTGAAAATTTTAATAGTGTGACGTGAAATAATGAATGACATGCTTGAAATTATATGCTTGGGAATATTGATACATGCTTTAGCTTGATGTTGATACATTCTTCAGCATGATGTTGATACATGCTTAAGCATGATATTGTTGTTTCCTTTTCTTTCATTACAGGGGCAGCAGATTAATACATAAAATTGAGGGCATAGAAGGGAAGGTAGTGGAGGTAAGACACAAGTGAAACGCTGTCACAATCTCACTGAAGTTGTTTTTTTTAAGCGCTGAGTCTACCCTTGCGGTAGGGTGCCACTCAATATGCAAACTAAAACGTTTTTAGTTTTTTTGGATCACACCCTCTTAATTTGCTACTATTGGTGAAAAACAACTAGACAAAAAAACATCATTATTCCATTCAGGTTGGTGGAGTGAGCAAAACGCTACAAAAGAGACGTAGGGAATAGGAGACATTTCAAATGAGACGTTAAAAATTAGACGAAAATATCTCATTGTGGAGTCGAATTTCTAGGCTGAATCGCTGGAGGGTGGTGATAGGCTGAACCATCACATGCCTATTATTTGCGTTGCCTAGATCCCTACTGCTCGGCAGTATGCTCACCACACTGCTCTACAATCTCTGATAACACACTTCCTCATTGCAGGTGGTGTGTGGGCAGGACCACAGCCTGTTCCGCACGGAGAAAGGCGAGCTGTATGCTTGTGGCTGGGGTGCAGATGGCCAGACTGGTAAGGGCGAATGGTGTCCTCTAACAGTGTTCCTCTCGTCACGCTGACACACAAATGCCATGTAACAATATACCGTGTGAATGGATTGCGTGTGTCGTATTTCATTACATAACGTGGAGAGGAAGGAGGTCATCGGTATAGAGCGAGAATACAAGCTTCCATAAATAAAAATCTAAGATTAAATTACAGAATTCGAATTGAAAGTGCAATTAATGTGTTCAACAACAAATCATTAGGTTATGGTGACTAAAAATGTAATTATTTAATATGAAGAATAAATGGCAAGTGTAAACATTAAGAACATGTTTTTTATGTTAATTTATTGGCCTTACAGCAACATTTGTTTATAATTCATATTTAGTTTATTTTGCTTAGATCGCGTGGGTATGTCAATTGTTAACTATAGATTTTTATCCACACACGATTTAACAAAAACAGCATTGTTAATATATTGGCCACAAAAGCCTACGTATAAAATGTACATTTGTTTAAGCAAACAAACTGGACCGGTTTTCCTTGTTTAAACAAATCCTGCGAGAAGAGCAATAGTTTAACAGACTAAAACATTATTTTTTACTGTGGTTATACAAAACGGAAGTCATGTTTTTCTTTTATTTTTAAGAATATGCCACAACGGTGCATAATGAGTGTTTTACATACATAATATATGAAGAGACGAATGATTTATATGAATAATGACTAATTATTTGTTTGAAGCTGACATTGTTTGCCTCATAATTCCATGCGTAATGAGCATCATTCACGAAGGCACATTTATGAAAGTTCCATATTTCTCTTCTTTGGTTCTTTCGGTAAAGTCACGTAGAATGAGAATAAAATAATAAAATAATAAAATAAAATAACGCAATCATATTCTCACGACGTTTCAGCCACAACACAAGCGGCGTTCATCAGGTGAAGGGACGAGACTGTCTGGAGGACAGCGCTGGAGTTGTCCTCCAGTCTCGTCCCTTCACCTGATGAAGGCCGCTTGTGTTGTGGCTGAAACGTCGTGAGAATATTATTGCGTTATTTTATCTTATAAATTTATTATTTTATTCTCATTCTACGTGACTTTACCGAAAGAACCAAAGAAGATGAATCCTTGCAGTCACGAAAGCTTTAAATCGAAAAATTCCATATTTCTATTTTGAATACCTCAAATAAATATTCAGGTGCATCTTAGTTTTCGGAGGGATTTGGAATTTGGAAATGATCTAACTGTGAATCAATGTAATGTATCTTGGTGGAAATGGTGGGGGGGGGGAAGTGTGGTGCTAATCACACAAAAACATGCAAAATGCAAAACGTTAAGCTATAAAAAATATATTATGGGGGTGAAGTTGTGCAACGTGTTGTTTGTTATTGCTTTTTAAAGTAATCGTTTTTTTGTGGTCACGTGGGCACCGAGTCTGTGACCTCTCAATGAGTATTTGATTGCTATAAATGTTGACATGATAAGCCACTTCGTTGAGCTATCATTTCTGATGGCCAGGGTGCTTCTGAAAATTGTACATATAGCTCAGTGGGCCTTACCTGGTAAATTAAAATGTAAATAGGTTGCGGAGCAGAAAATAATGAAACCAGCATACCTAGAAAAACACTTTTTTTTGCAAGCACTGTGAATCCACAACCTGGATGATCTGCCCACGGACAATAGACAATTGACATTATAGGAGGAATATTTTAAAGACATACATAGATCAATTAAATCTTCCCATCGTTCACAATGGAAGGTAGAGCGGTCCACATTGTCGTCACGTGTTGCGTCCACAGGTCTGGGCAGCTATGAGATGTGCAGCACACCAAAACGGCTCGGAGGTGACTTGTCGGGTGAGCCGGTGGCCCAGGTGGCGTCGTACGGAGACTTTTGCCTGGCAGTCAGTGAGTCGGGAGAGCTGTTTGGCTGGGGCAACTCGGAATACCGGCAGCTGGCTGCCATCACAGATGCCGTTCAGGTATGGCGTTTTGACGAGGTGCAGGTGTGCACGATGTACAGCTCTTTTCTCAATCCACCGCTCGATGAGGGCTTACCCACGCCGTGCTGGTCCTGAGGAGTTATTTGGTCATATTACACCTTGCTGGTGATTGAAGTTTGGTTAAGGTGGGAAGCGTAGATGGTGAAGCATAATAATATCATACAGCAATAGATTTGTCTGCGCTGCCCTCTGCTGACGTAACCCCACAGAATCCTACAATACCTGTGTTATGCGTTGTGGTAACCCATCCAATGTGCTGTCCAGTCTTAACTCTGCTTGTCTTTTGAGATATGATGAGATCAGGTGCGTTTTTGGTGATTTGGCCATAAATGTTTGACCAAGTTGGCTGTCTCACATTACCAACTAGAATCACCCAACACTCAAGCCCTGATCCTGCGAAGTTGTTACGTTGACGGGTGTTAATGTCTCCGCAGATAAATGTTCCCAAACACATACCGCTTAAAAATGTGGGGAAAGTGAAAATGGCAGCTGCCGGTGGCACCATTTGTGGAATCCTTAACGGTGAGAAATCGGTTTATATTTTTTTCCCCCCGCTTTGTTTCACCTACGTTCGGCCTACATACGGATTCATTAGTCGATCGCGATAATTTACTGAAAGGCGGGGACGATGGAGGTGGGTGTATCATCTCACGCCGAGTGATATTTTGCCGACAACACTGATCCCTCTTTGATTTCTCCCGTGACCGCCATCAGAGGAGGGCGAGGTGTTCGTGTGGGGATACGGGATCCTGGGGAAGGGGCCTCGGCTCTCGGAGACGGAGACTCCCGAGCAGATACCACCCTCTCTGTTCGGACGCACCGAGTTCGACCCCGACATCAGAGTGAAGACGCTTCGTTGTGGACTCCACCACTTTGCTGCCGTGAATAGTACGGTGTGGGGTGGGGGCCAGGGAGGGGGGGGGGGGGGGTTGACGCGGTCAGTTGTCATTTGTTTCGAATTTTTGGAGAGTAGTAGCGTAGTGGTTATCGCACTGTCCTATGAACCCCACAACACGATTTTTATTTCTGGCCACGGTGAACATTCATGGTGAGTGATATCCGAATTGGAAGGCTTCCCCATTCCGTGTCATTCATGGGACTTGTGTTTGACCATACTTCATCGCATTGCTCGCTGTGGGGTTTGTTGAAAGCATGGCGCATGAACAGTTCAGATATCCCTCACCGTTTATGTTAGCCATAGCTGGGAATTCAACTCAGGTCACCGGATTCATTGCACCACAGCTCCAAAAAAAACGTCATTCTTGAATCAAAACGTGACCCTGAATTGTGACAAGTCATCAGATCGCTGGGGGGTGTGGGAGATAAATTGATACTTAGCTGTGTGATTTTTTTTTGGGTTTGTACCGCATATTTTTTGACACTTTGTCTGACGTTTCGCTCCACATGCTGGGAACTTCTTCAGAAACTGAATAAGCAGCTCACGTTTCCAACGCTTCTAAAGCACTGACGACTGCTGCTGTTGTTTGAAGTAGACCAGCCAATGTTATTGAAGTAGACCAGCCAGCACTTGTGCATACACGCTTATTACACAAGGGTGTCGTGGTGGCGAGATGTTAACTACCTCACTAGGTATACAGGAGGTTGTGGGTTCGATCCCAGCCCTACGCCTCTATATTTGGAGTTTGCGCGTCTCTCTCCCTGTCGTCACATGGATTTTTCTCTGGGTCCTCTGGTTTTTCCCTCCACATTTAAAAACATTCGTTAAGAGAATTTGGCAGCTTTACATTTCCCCGTGATAAGCCACTTCGTTGAGCGATCATTTATGGCCAGGTCGCTTCTCAAAAAGAGCTGTATAGCTCTGAGCCTTACCTGGTAAAATGAAAATAGTTTTTCTAAATTTTTTATAGTTATACAAGCCTATTAGTACACGCGTATACGTAGTGTCTATTGCATTTTTATGTGCCTATTTATCTTTCCCGATGTGTTTTATTTCCACTTTTTCAGCTCGCGGTGAACTTTTCAGCTGGGGTAAGAACATGCGCGGGTGCCTGGGAATTGGCCGGCCAGATGACCAGTACTTCCCTTGGAGGGTACGTCGGTGAAGAATCTTTCATTTGAAGTTCTATTCTTTGCGTTCCGAACCAAAAGGAATTTGTCTCTTCGTGTCTATCAAATCAGAGAAAAAAAGTAAAACTTCTGCGCATTGTCCAGACCTTTTATCAGCAATAACAATTTAACATTCAACACATTATGTTACATGTTGATTTATGCAAACTTTATATATTATTGATGAAATACTATTGCAAATAATAAGGGTAATTAATGTATGTGTAGTGTCATTGAGTCGGAGACGAGGTTTGTAGAGGCACCTTCTTTATTGAACACACACGATCTCACCTGCACAACACTAGCCGTCTAACATCGCCGGCGCTGACCGAGATAGTTAACCTAGTATCCAGCAGCGCAATACCGAGCGAACACGGCAGCGACGATGGCGACGAGACGACGTGGTACCAGCGCGGCCTGGCTCCGCCCTGGCCGCGCCTCCCTTCTCGGACCCACTAGCGGGTTCCAGGGGCTTCCAGATGGGGCCCTCCATGACCCTTGCCCCAGTTCCTCCGCCCTGCCGGCACACACACCGTGTCTATGCTCACCGGCGTGTGTACTGTTTGTCCACCGCAGTTTCCGCTGCTGGTCACCAGTCGGTGCTATTACAATACATATGCATGAGAGATTTGCATGGCGATGTTTGGCTAATATGATTAATGAGCGTATGCTGTTTTTGGGGGGGAAACTGGAGAATGCAGAAAAGAGCTCGGCATTATAGGGGATATAACCTTTAGGCTTAAAATATCGCGCTGTCGTTGATGCAGATAGCATCTCGCAATCGCTGATGAACCACAAGCTCGAAGGCAGCTGCCAGGTGGGGAGCCGGCGCCAACAGTTGCTCTGCAGTTCTCTCTATAAATGTTTTCGGCCAATTGGTGAGTGTCTTATACATGTGGCAGGAAACCCACACGTGAGGGAACAACACTCTATCCCGTTTACAAGAGAGAGGTGATTCACTTTGCTGTACTGCATTCTGCTGGCCAGCCAGGGCATTGCACCTCGACGCCCACGGGAAGGGAGTCGCGCAACATTTTGTCATTCGTCCGGTGATCCACCAACCGTCGCTGCTTCCTGCACAGTGCTGAATTACTAGCCACGTGCAGTGCAGCCACCACCCACCATTAGGATTTTAGAGTGCATGGCCGCGCCACAGCTGAATTTTTGAGACTGAATCAATCGTCTGTGTCTGTCATCGTTTTAACCCTGTTGCAACTGTCATGTGTAGGTAACGGTTGCAGGGGAGGTGGTGGACGTGGCGTGTGGGGTCGACCACTCTGTGGCGCTGGCCAAGACGTTGATTTGACGTTTGCCGACATGACTGGACAACAACCAAACCTGTGGTGCTACCCCCCCCCCACCTCCCTCAGTAGCTTGGGGGGGGGGGGGAGGTGCATGACACATGACACAGTGTTAAAGTGAGAATAAGATCACACTTTAATTGATGAATCAGTGTATTGTTACATGCCCAGGAGTGTACATGGATTTGTCCATTGCTATGTATATTTTGTAAACTTGTTGAAAACCGTTAATTTGGCTGATCATAAGAGCCTGGAATAGCATTGAGAATAATTTGAGTTATATTTTGTGAATTTGTTTTCATATTAAAAGCCATCTAAATGTGTGATTGTGTATATCATTTTGCTACAATATAAGATACTTTAAAGATGTCGGTAATGAATAGTATAATTAAAGTTCACCTTTATAACGGAGTAATACTTGTAAAATACCATGGTGTTGAACATACTTGGACATAGTCTGACTTATCATGCTCGGATGATGACTTATTTTTACAAATTAGCCATATTTTATCAAAACAAATTTCCTTAAAAAAATACTTCACTTCTACAGTGAGGGAAAAAAGTATTTGATCCCCTGCTGATTTTGTACGTTTGCCCACTGACAAAGAAATGATCAGTCTAGAATTTTAATGGTAGGTTTATTTGAACAGTGAGAGACAGAATAACAACAACAAAATCCAGAAAAAACGCATGTCAAAAATGTTATAAATTGATTTGCATTTTAATGAGGGAAATAAGTATTTGACCCCCTCTCAATCAGAAAGATTTCTGGCTCCCAGGTGTCTTTTATACAGGTAATGAGCTGAGATTAGGAGCACACTCTTAAAGGGAGTGCTCCTAATCTCAGCTTGTTACCTGTATAAAAGACACCTATCCACAGAAACAATCAATCAGATTCCAAACTCTCCACCATGGCCAAGACCAAAGAGCTCTCCAAAGGTGTCAGGGACAAGATTGAAGGTGACAACAGTTGGTGTGATTATTCGCAAATGGAAGAAACACAAGAACTGTCAATCTCCCTCGGCCTGGGGCTCCATGCAAGATCTCACCTCGTGGAGTTGCAATGATCATGCGAACGGTGAGGAATCAGCCCAGAACTACACGAGAGGATTTTGTCAATGATCTCAAGGCAGCTGGGACCATAGTCACCAAGAAAACAATTGGTAACACTATGCCGTGAAGGACTGAAATCATGCAGTGCCCGCAAGGCCCCCCTGCTCAAGAAAGCACATATACATGCCCGTCTGAAGTTTGCCAATGAACATCTGAATGATTGAGAGGACAACTGGGTGAAAGTGTTGTGTTCAGATGAGACCAAATGGAGCTCTTTGCCATCAACTCAACTCGCCGTGTTTGTAGGAGGAGGAATGCTGCCTATGACCCCAAGAACACCATCCCCACTGTCAAACATGGAGGTGGAAACATTATGCTTTGGAGGGGGGGGGGGGGGGTTTATGCTAAGGGGACAGGACAACTTCACCGCATCAAAGGGACGATGGATGGGGCCATGTACCGTCAAATCTTGGGTGAGAACCTCCTTCCCTCAGCCAGGGCATTGAAAATGGGTCGTGGATGGGTATTCCCGCATGACGATGACCCAAAACACGGCCAAGGCAACAAAGGAGTGCTTCAAGAAGAAGCACATTCAGGTCCTGGAGTGGCCTAGCCAGTCTCCAGACCTTAATCACATAGAAAATCTGTGGAGGGAGGTGAAGGTTCGAGTTTCCAAACGTCAACCTCGAAACCTTAATGACTTGGGGAAGATCTGCAAAGAGGAGTGGGACAAATTCTTCCTGAGATGTGTGCAAACCTGGTGGTCAACTACAAGAAACGTCTGACCTCTTTGATTGCCAACAAGGGTTTTGCCACCAAGTACTAAGTCATGTTTTGCAGAGGGGTCAAATACTTATTTCCCTCATTAAAATGCAAATCAATTTATAACATTTTTGACATGCGTTTTTCTGGATTTTGTTGTTATACTGTCTCTCACTGTTCAAATCAACCTACCATTAAAATTATAGACTGATCATTTCTTTATCAGTGGGCAAACGTACAATATCAGCAGGGGATCAAATACTTTTTTCCCTCACTGTATATTAGGATTTGTTTAATATCTACAACATTGCATAATTAGAGGATAGCCCAGGAGGGTAATTTGAGTCTTGGCAAAATAAAATTATGATAGCTCAATACATTGTAAATAACACTGGTAAAAGGAAATATGTAAGACAGAATTGTGGGCAATGACCCTTACAGCAGAGAGACTTGTTTTCTAATAGATATACATTTTTATAGCAGAGATTTATATGAAAAATGGCCATTATGACATTTTTTTGCCTTTTCGGGCAGCGTTGATGAATGTGTTGAGTTTGTTATTTGTGCAAAGTATTACAAATGGTTTCGTTTAAATCGGGGGGGGGGGAGGGGAAATGTTGCGGGGTTATAAAACAAAGGCCTGCTTTGATGCAGTGCACGGCAGCCAGACCCACTGTGGCCGTGTGTCACACGAGACGGTACGACACATTCGATTACACATTTTGTTTATACGTGTCTGTCTATGTTTAACATGTTAAAATATTCAAACTCGTTACACATTTGGCCCATTAAAATTCCAAGCCTGTGATGTGGGATGTCTTGCCAAGACCCAGCCATGCGGAAGAAGGTCGGCTGTGCCTTATTTCAAGACCAAATATATATTCCGTACAGCACAATCTTAATTGAGCTAATATTTGCAGTCCTCGTTACAAAATATAGTATTGCCTAATGTCAGGTAAAGGGTAAAAGGAATGGAATGGGGGGGCATCGTGGCATGAGATGAATTCATTTGGATCTCTTAAATCTCTTAAGTATAACCTTTCATGCAACAGCCCATGGCAGTAGATATCACAACTACTTAGGTCCCTTCAGGTGACCTGGATATGAACTCGTGGGCAAAATATTCTGTCCCTTGCTAGGAGATGAAAGTTTGCCAAATTGTATTGAGATTGATGCATTTATTTAGGATTGTATACCCTGTGCTAGGAAAGCAACGTTGAATGTACTAGTCAGCGGTTGCCATAATGTCATGGGTGGTGAGAGGGTTATGTGCCTTGCATCCCTGGAGGCTTGTGGCTCGCTGTATGGAGTATATTTTAAGCAGGGTTCTCAGGGCACGTGGTTCCCCTGAAGGGGAGACATACCAAAGAGACGTTTCTATAAACAGCAATATTGGCATTGAACATGTTGAGTTAAAATGGCCAATTACCATCTGGTAGATCCTCTATCATCGGACACGACCAGAAAGCATATTCCGAGTCGCGCGTCACATGGGGTGCACGAGGGACAAAATTCGGAGGGGTTACCGTATTTAGCTCTGCGGCTGTTTGATGAATACAAAGGATGAATTTACACAGTCCCAAAGGGGCTGATGTAATGTCTTTGTAAATTGCGGTACATATTTTAAGCCACCGTTGCTTCCCAAATTACTTGATCAATTCTGTCCGATGTGTTTTTCGGGCCGTGCCACGTGTTGTTTGGCGCGATGTCTAATATTTCGCTCCGCGTGCTGGGAGACCTTCATGAATTGAATTCAGTTTCGAACAATGGGTATTGATAGAACTTGGTTGACTGAAATATACGGCTGGGTTTGGTCTCTGGGGAGGGTGGCAACCCTGAGGAGGTGGGGGAAGCAGGGGTGGCGGGGGGGGGGGGTTATTTGAGAAACAGGCACGTCATTTCAGCTGCCGCACCGGGAAATGTGTACATGAATTAGGTAACCGGAGGTGCCAATCGATACTGGCAACCTCTGGATTTGCAAGTCCGGCGTGCCAACCATCACAGCACGGCATTAACAAAAATCAAGAAAATTGCTTGACCTCTGTATCATTACACAATGAATGGCTGTCCTAAGATTATGATACTGTAAATTCTGAAGCGGGGTGCAAACTGAAGGGGCCTTGTACAGCAGCCATTACTCATGGTCACTCATAGGATCCCGTGCCCGCATGTAACATGAACATTGCGTACACTCGTGCGTCTAATAATAAATTGACATTTTTTTTAGCCTGCAGTGACGCTCGTAAGGAGTAATCGAGGTCCTTTTTTATTATCGCTTCACCTAAACCCTCGCTGACCATGAGCGTGGTGTGGTAGAGTCGAATAACACTCCACGACCTCCACAGGCGTAGGGGAGGAGGCCCTCATCCAGCAGTCGCTTCACCAAAGGGACTGTTACGTGTCCATCCATAGGCATTGTAGGCCGTAGAGCGCAGTGCGGCGAAATCTACCTTCAACCCGCAGTGACCATGAGTGGTGAAGTATAATCAAAGTACCCGTCACGGACCGCAAAGCGCGGGGAGGCCCTCATTCAGCAGTCGATTGACCAAGACGGACCGTGCATGCACATCACAAAATTAAAACCCTAACTGTAAATCGAGTAGGTTGATGGAATATCGCCACAGTGTTGATCAGGGATTCATATCTCAGTGTATAGATTTCCCCGGGTCGCTGGTATAATAGACGTTGGCACGCGAAAATTAGCCTGCAGACGTGTCTGGCCCAGTGTGTAAGAGCAGGCCCAATACGCTCGAGAGGGTCTGTTAATACAGCTGTCTCCGATGGAGGCCCTTGCGTCAGCAGTGGGAGTGAGCCAGCAATTGCAGGGTCTGCGCCTCTAGCTTCGGCATCATGCCCCGCATTGGAAACTGCGGGTCGTGCGTGTACGATGGGAGTGGCGCATTGGTGAAACAAAATCAAAGACAAATTTCCCCCGCATAAACCTTAAACAGTGTGTTGTGGGGGGGGGGGGGGCAAGCGCTGTTAGCGAGTAGCACCTATGAAGGCCGGCACGGCACACGAGGAAGGGTGGGTGGCCAGCACCAAGCCCCGGCCGCCTTTGTCTCCCTAGCGGCGATGTTTACACATCGCACCAAATACTCATTTAAGGCTGAGTCGACCTAGGGGGGGGGGGGCCCGGCCAGGACCGGTTCAGATAATTCGTCATTGGTGCTGGTGGCCGTGAGCGGGAATCGAACTCGAGTCTCCGGGTTCGTAGCGCAGCGCAGACTACGAACCACTCCACAAAACCACATCGAAGCACAACAACCTCCAGCAAAGTGGCGATGACGACCCCACGGCGCTCGTGCCAGGCGAGGTGCACTTTTAAGGCCATGCGAAGCGTGGAACGACCGCTGGCAGGAGGGCACGGGGACAGACTCTGGTGGTGCCAGGGGTCGACTGATAGAGATGACTGGCAGATGCACCACCTGTGCCCCGCAACTGTGCCAACATCAAAGCACAGGTGCACACACACAAATCCTGGCATCTTGCTATCTCCTCTCTTCGTTCATCATTTCGTTTTTTTTAATGCTTTGCTTTATATAACCCCCCCCCCTTTTTAAATGGAAGATTTCACGCTCTGCTCTCTCTACCCCCTCTCTCTCTACCCCCTCTCTCTCTACCCTCTCTCTATCCCCTCTCTCTACCCCCTCTCTCTACCCCCTCTCTCTCTACTCCCTCTCTCTCTACCCCCTCTCTATCCCCTCTCTCTCTACCCTCTCTCTCTATCCCCTCTCTACCCCCCCTCTCTCTCTATCCCCTCTCTCTATCCCCTCTCTCTCTACCCCTTCTCTCTATCCCCTCTCTCTCTACCCCCTCTCTCTACCTCCTCTCTCTCTACCCCCTCTCTACTCCCTCTCTCTCTACCCCCTCTCTCTCTCTACCCTCTCTCTCTACCCCCTCTCTCTCTACCCCCCTCTCTCTACCCCCCTCTCCCTCTACCCCCCTCTCTCTACCCCCTCTCTCTCTACCCCCTCTCTCTCTGCCCCCTCTCTCTCTACCCCCTCTCTCTCTACCCCCTCTCTCTCTACCCCTCTCTCTCTACCCCCTCTCTGCCCCCTCTCTCTCTACCCCTCTCTCTCTACCCCCTCTCTCTACCCCCTCTCTACCCCCTCTCTACCCCCTCTCTCTCTACCCCCTCTCTCTCTACCCCTCTCTACCCCTTCTCTCTCTACCCCCTCTCTCTCTACCCCCCTCTCTCTCTACCCCCTCTCTCTCTCTACCCCCTCTCTCTCTACCCCCTCTCTCTCTCTACCCCCCTCTCTCTACCCCCTCTCTCTCTACCCCCTCTCTCTCTCTCTACCCTCTCTCTCTACCCCCTCTCTCTACCCCCTCTCTCTCTACCCCCTCTCTCTACCCCCTCTCTCTCTACCCCCCCCTCTCTCTATCCCCTCTCTCTCTACCCCCTCTCTCTCTACCCCCTCTCTCTGCCCCCTCTCTCTCTACCCCCTCTCTCTCTACCCCCGCTCTCTCTCTCTACCCCTCTCTCTCTCTACCCCCTCTCTGCCCCCTCTCTCTCTACCCCTCTCTCTCTACCCCCCCTCTCTCTAACCCCTCTCTCTCTACCCCCTCTCTCTCTACCCCATCTCTCTCTACCCCCTCTCTCTCTACCCCCTCTACCCCCTCTCTCTCTACCCCCTCTCTCTCTACCCCCTCTCTCTACCCCCTCTCTCCCTACTCCATGTCTGTTCCCCCCCTATGTTTTCTATGCAATTGTAATATTGCAAACATGTTTAGCTCTTCTCTCTTCAATTCTAGATTTAAAGCTTTCGTGACTGCTAGGATCCATACTCTCTGGTTCTATTGGGTAAAGTCACGTAGGTAAAAGATAAAATAGCAAAAATCACGAAGGCCGCTTGTGTTGTGGCCGAAACGTCGTGATTTTTGTTATTTTATTTTTTACCTAGGTGACTTTACCCAATAGAACCAAAGAGTATCTCCTCTCTTCAGTTTACCAACATTTGTAGCTGCGAGAGAGGGCGGGCACCAGACGGGCACAGCTCCTCAACTCGGGCAGAACCAGAGGCACGGACTGAAGGGGGGGCAGCCCAAAATAAGCGGCGGATCGCGTTTCTCGTCTTCTCGACGGAGACTTCCCCCACCTCATCCACCACCATCGTGCTCTGTGACGCACGCAGCCTCCAGTGCGGGGAGGGAGGGGGAAGCGGTGAGGGGGTGGGTGGGGGAGGAGTGAGGAGGTGGGTGAGGAGGAGGGTGGGGAAGTAGGAGGAGGAGTGAGGGGGTGGGTGGGGAAGGAGTGAGGAAGGAGGAGGGGGTGGTGGGTGGAGGAGGAGGAGTGAGGAAGGAGGAGGGGGTGGTGGGTGGGGAAGGAGGAGGAGTGAGGAAGGAGGAGAGGGTGGTGGGTGGGGAAGGAGGAGGAGTGAGGAAGGAGGAGGGGGTGGTGGGTGGGGGAAGGAGTGAGAGGCTGGGGGAGGAGGAGGCGTGAGGAAGAGAGGAGGTGGTGGGTGGGGGAGGAAGAGGAGGGGGTGGGTGGGGAAGGAGTGAGATGCTGGGGGAGGAGTGAGGAAGGTGGAGGAGGAGGTGGAGGAGTGAGGAGGGAGGAGGAGGGGGTGGGTGGGGGAGGAAGGAGAGGCTGGGTGAGGAGGAGGAGTGAGGAAGGTGGAGGAGGAGTGAGGGAGGAGGAGGAGTGAGGGAGGAGGAGGAGTGAGGGAGGAGGAGGAGTGAGGGAGGAGGAGGAGGAGTGAGGGAGGAGGAGGAGTGAGGGAGGAGGAGGAGGAGTGAGGGAGGAGGAGGAGGAGTGAGGGAGGAGGAGGAGTAGTGAGGGGGCTGGGCGGGCTGTGTGAAGGACGGAAGGAGTGCGAAGGGGATTGTTGCGGGAGGTTCAGCCGGCATTGAATGAGGGAGAGGAGACGGAGAGATTCTGATAGAACAAGATTTGTTTGGAATCTCTCTCTGTGTTGTGTGGTGGTGGTGGTAGTGGTTGTTGTTGCGGGCAAGAGAGAAGGCGTTCTGAATCTTTGTTCGTCAAATCCGACACGGGCTGTGGTTCGTTCATCCCGGCTGATTCTTCTCGAGGTGAGTACGATTGTATTTTAGACGTTTAAGAGGCGCTAAGTGTGTGCCAGTGCTGTGCTCTGGGTATAATTACAATGGTATCGCGATGATGAAGCCTGCTATTCCGTAAAGCAGTCAGTTTTCAAAATGTATGCACTGTACGCTGATCTTCTTTCGCACCGTACGTAGCCAATCGTGCCATTCGGAGGTACAGTTTGCATGGCACTACAGGATAAGCATTTGCATTCCGGTAATTTTCCATTGCACATACCGTAATCGTGCAGTACAATATGCTTTAATCGCGGCGGCGTATTTAAATGAACGGTACGTGTTTGAAAGCCATCACGATCCGCTTATATGATTTTGTCTTACGTTTAGGATAGTCGCACTGTACTGGTTACAGTAACAGATTGTTCGTAGCGAGTGTTGTCTCACGTGTAGGATAGTTGCACTGTACTGGTTACAGTAACAGATTGTTCGTAGCGAGTATTGTCTTACGTTTAGGATAGTCGCACTGTACTGGCTACAGTAACAGATTGCTCGTAGCGAGTGTTGCCTTACGTTTAGGATAGTCGCACTGTACTGGTTACAGTAACAGATTGTTCGTAGCGAGTATTGTCTTACGTGTAGGATAGTCGCACTGTACTGGTTACAGTAACAGATTGCTCGTAGCGAGTGTTGTCTTACGTGTAGGATAGTCGCACTGTACTGGTTACAGTAACAGATTGTTCGTAGCGAGTGTTGCCTTACGTTTAGGATAGTCGCACTGTACTGGTTACAGTAACAGATTGTTCGTAGCGAGTGCTGTTAAGGCCGGGCAGCAAACCACCGCCCGACCGCCTTTGTCTCCCCGAGTCGGGGGACGATGTTTAGGCAGGCACGTGGCACCGTGTACTCGTTTGAGGCCGAGTCTACCTAGGGGGAGGCCCAGTGTCCTACGGTAATAACCGGTGTTGGTGGTCGTGAGCGCTTATAGCCACCAGCACCACCGCACGACGAGGTCCCTTATCGGTGTGTACAGTAATTTGTGTTTATTGTTACTGGTGTTGTTGTTGTCGAGTGTACAGTGGCGTGTCCGAGGGACGCAGGGTGGTTTAAACATATAGCATGGTTTAGCCATTAAGTTCGTTTAGGTTTCATTTAATTTTGTATAGCCCTGTGAGCCATTCGGCTCTTGAATCGGGTGCAATAAGCAACAAACAAAAAAACTATAACATGAACAACATCTTAAAGTGACTACGCGCAAACATAAAAATCCAGGGGGAATAAAAACAAACACGGCAAAAATATTCCAGAAAAAGCACCGTACACCACAATCGCTCTGTGCAAAATTCCAAGTTGGGATGCAAGTCAAACAACAACAACCACAAGACAACTTAGATTAAAGCCATCATTCTAACTCCGCACTACAACAACAACAAGAAAAAAAACGTTTTCGAAATCGCCAAAATAAATCCATGAAAGCAATGTAACAGTGATCATAGGAACCGTGACCGAAATTTCACAATAAACAACATAAACAACATGCACCACCACCAAAAAAACCTCTGTAGCCATCCATAGCTGGCTGCATGAGTCACTTAACAACAATAGGAGCTCATTTTCTTATTTTTTTCGGTAAAGTCACGTTGAAGAGAAACAACAAAATAATAATATATATAAAACAATTTTTTAAATATCTATTTTATTATTTTGTTGTTTCCCTTCAACGTGACTTTACCGAAAAAACTAAGAATATGAATTACTGCGGTCACGAAAGCTTTAAATCAAAATTTAACAATAGGAGCTATCAATCAGTCGGAGTTCGTGGCAAGTTAATATAATAATGTACTTGCCACGTTTGACGTTCAATGTCAACACAATCCACGTGCAAGCTCAGCATTGTGATCACGCGTTCAATTATTTCGAAAACGTTTTTTTGGTTTGGCCATGTTTTTGTTTTTTGTAGTACGGAGTTAGACTGATGGCCTTAATTTAAAGTTGTCTTGTGGTGGTTGTTGTTGTTGTTTGACTTGCATCCCACTGGGATTTTTGCGCACAGCGTTGGCGTACGGTGCTATTTCAGGAATATTTTGATGTTTTTTTTTCCCCTATATTTTCTGTTTGCACAGTCACACAAAGTCACTTTAAGATGTTTTCTTGTTAGTGTTTTTTGTTTGTTGAGGTTGCACCCGATTCAAGAGCCGAATGGCTCACAGGGCTATACCAAATCAATGGAACTATGTATCCATTGCATTGTAGTGTAACCCTTGAGACACAAATACAACAACGTTATCGTTTCGTGTAACTCAATGCAGGGGGGGGTAGGGGATGCTGCCGCGTGGTGTAATGCTTCGCGATTTCGATTTCTCGGCGCGGCAAGTTGAATCCGAGATCTCTCTCCGTCTCCTCTGCCCACCCAAACCATCATCATCATCGCGCGTGGTGGGTTAAAGTGTGGGTACTCCCACGTCTTCTATCTAACGGCGACGTGTGAGCGGCGTGGACGAGTAGGCCAAGGACACTTTGTGTAGCTGGTGCGTGGTGACAAGTTGTGTGTGTGGTGGGGGGGGGGCAGAACTTATTCGCCGGCAGTGGCTTGAGCAGGCAATGGTGAGGCTGCACCTGCACACTTCGCGATGGTCGACTGAACACTCCGAAACTGCTCTTTGTGTTTAAGTTTGGTTGTCCCTCGCACGCCTCCGATGAGCACGGTTGCCTAGGTACGAAGTCGTCGTGCATTACATAACTTGCTCTCTCCGCCACTTTGTTGAAACCATAGCGATAGGAGAACAAAGCAACAGCAACAACAGTAGCAAGCAAGCAAGACTTGTTATTCGCGTGGCGCCGAGTCGACGAAACAGCGTTTAGAGCGAAGCGAGTGGCGCTTTGTAGGAGGAGTTCGTCAACAATCGTGGCTGTTCGTACACGTGCCAATTTTCGTAATAAAACAACAACAACTTTGAACGGGCTGTTGTTGTTGTGCTCGTGTGTGTGCGCGCACGCGCGCCCTCGCTCGAACAGCACTTGCCCCAACAGTCCGTGGAGGCTACACGGGTGACCTTTGTCTTTGTACATGTGGGGAGCGGTGGTGCAGCGGTTAGTACTAGAGTTCGATTCCCGCTCCCGGCCAACACCGGTGACGAGTATCTGAACCGGTCCTGGGCCTTCTCCCCTATGTGTCAACTTAGCCTCAATTGAGTACCAGGTCTGGTTTGTAAACATTGCCATGAGGGAGACAAAGGCGGCCGGGCGTGGTGCCGGCTACCCCCAACCCCCTTGTGTGCCGTTCCGGCCTTCATAGGTGCTCGCTAACAGTCTGTTAATCCTACACGGGGATTTTTTGTGTTTGTACGCATGTGTACTATAATTGCCACAGGTTGTATAGCGAACAACTGTGCTATCAACTACAGCAACCCGAGTTCCATTTCCCGGTCACGGCTAACATCAGTGGCCAGTGATGTCTGAAGCGTTTGCTCTGCGTGCCCAGCGTTCACCAACCCCGCAGTAACCATAGTGCTGAAGTATAGTCATATTGTACTACTCACATGATCGACACGGCAGTGGGGTGGTGTTTATCATCCAGCGGTGGATTTACTAAGGATTCTAGATGTGCACAGTACTTAGACATACTATGTACGGCATACAATTCCTGTCTATTGAACTTAGTGTAAAAATTTACAGGGTAATTAAAAAAAATTCCCCCCACTGCCTCCTTTAGTGGCAGCTGTTATTTATAAACCACCTCGTTCCTATTTTTGTATTGACCAATTCCTGTATTTACTGGGGAGGCCTTCGTCCAGCAGTATATTAACCATGGTGTATGATGATATTTATTACTAACTTGTTTGCCCGTCCAAGGACGGGTTTATTATTGCATCACATCTGAAATATTCAGTAGAAAAATTGTTCAGCTCTGATTATTAGTGAGGGGAGGGGGTTGCCCCGTGTGGAGTGACGTCACCCGCTAATGGTTATTGGGGAGGGGTGGGGCATGTGGAGTGACGTCACCCGCTAATGGTTATTGGGGAGGGGTGGGGCATGTGGAGTGACGTCACCCGCTTATGGTTATTGGGGAGGGGTGGGGCATGTGGAGTGACGTCACCCGCTAATGGTTATTGGGGAGGGGTGGGGCATGTGGAGTGACGTCACCCGCTCATGGTTATTGTGGAGGGGTGCGGCATGTGGAAATTTCCACGCGGGCATGAATATTAATGAAGGGGGAGGGGCCCTCTTTTGCAGTGACGTCACGTTCGGATGTAGCACTGTGCTGCTGAGATGTATTTTTTACCGTCACTTTCTATAAAGAAACGTCATATTTTAAGCGACTTTGCGTCATAAATTATTTAATTAAGCTCAACCTTCCTCTGCGTTAGTGTAAACAATCACCCACTCATGAATATTAATGAGTTGGGGTGGGCCTCAGGTGGAGTGACGTCATGCACGGGACACACATTCTTGGCTCATAATAGTAAATTGTTTTCTGAGATAAAGTATATACTTTGCAGTAGTTTGTATGTTCCCGTGACATTTCAGATACAGGAACCTCAAATTTGTCTACCAACACGTTTTGTGATTTTTTTTTTATTATGTTGCAAAACTTATTTTTGCCAACTCTCAACTAAATATAGAGGAATTGGAAGAGAGTTTACAAACGTCTAAAACCGCATGAGATTATCTTCGTGAATATTTATTTCCATTCACGACCCACGTGGTGCGCAGATGCCACCGACAGAAGGGCTGTGCAGTCAATGGTAGTGTGTGTGCATAATAGTTTCCCCCCCCCCCTTCCTCTCGTTTCCTTCCCAAGGTGAAGTAGAAGTCGCCGGTGTGCAGGTATGACGCGTGACCTCGCCATTCCCGAAGGCGATCACACAGAGCCGGTTGCGGCGCAGGACTTCAACGACAAATACGAACCAAAGGAGGTCCTCGGCAGGTGAGCTGGACAAGGGGAGATAACCGAGCTAGGCCCGAGGGTAGACCCTTAGACTGGTGAGATACAACAAACACCAACCAGCTCGTGCACTCCAAGGGCTCTGGGCCCACTGCTCGCCGGCTGAGCTCTGCTGTGACTTGATGTGGGATCTCGTGGCGAAGCTTTCGAGTGTTCAGGAAGGTGCACCTACACAAGGGCCCACGGGCCAAATGGTCCCCTATTGCTGAATTTATACACAGTACTGCCCTCGTGTCCCATGCCAGCCTTCATAGGTGCTCGCTGACAGTACTTGCCGCAACAGTCTATTAAGGCCTTTTTTTTTCCTCCCATAGTACATGGTGGTGAGGTTATCCTGCCATCTGATTAATCACAGACAGGCATGTTACGTGCACAGAGTGGTTCTAATAGCCTGGAAATTGGTGCGTGCTGTTCCTTATCTCAATTTCTAATCGGGATGCATTGTTCTGTGAACAAACCAATGCAGTGCCTTAATGGGAAGGAAACTTGGTTAGGTTGTCCAACAGATGAGTGAGACAGATACGGTAATGTCACTTATGCACAAGCAAAAAAAATCTGCCCAAATCAACCCCTTGTTTCTCTGCTCACGAGCATTTATGATGCAGTCCTGTTGCCAATAGTTTAAGTGAGAGTGATTTCCTGCTCTATTGAGCATTGAGGCAGCACTCATCTGTTGACAGCCTTCAATCAGTTGCAGTAAATTCCACATTCCTATGACAGAGCCAAGGCTTTCTATAGGACAAGCCATGTCGACTTCCCCACAAAGTGATCATCCTTTTATTGACCTCAAAGGGATGATGGGCTGAGTCAATCCCCACACAGGAGTTGCTTACAGGACCTCCTGGTTGTGTACCACTCTATCACTGAGCCACCTGACTGGTTATTCATAATGCAGAGATACGTTTTAGAACACTAGAAGGCATGATTGCCGATGGACTAGACTGGTGACAGATTATTATAAAGGAACACCCACAAGGACAACCATCACGGAGATGGAGTGGTGAGATCAGCTCCTGTGCAGGTGTGAGATTGGATTGTGGCTTTGTAAGAATTGTATGGATGCCGACAGTGTGGCGAAGCCTTCATCCAGGAGTGGATTGAAAGGGCTGTAATTTGTGTTTTCTTTTTGCCTGCACCGCTGTGGAGCAGCAGTGCTGTATCATGCTATATTCGAAAAGGTTTTGCTCTCTGCACTGAGTGAGGGAGAAAGGGAGGGACGGTCAGGCCCAAAGGACGATGGGCTGCTAGTCATAACAGAACAATTATTTTGCGACTCGCGCTAACTTTCTGTTATGAATTTTGTCATTATTTACCGATTTGATTATTCGCGTCGTATTTACGAACTGCTTCTCATCGTTCTCACGGTATTCGCGCGGTGCAGTGGCGTGAGCAGCGTGGTGCGGAGATGCGTGCACAAGCGCACGGGGCAGGACTTCGCCGTGAAGATCATAGACATCACGCCCGATCGCCTGAGCGAGGAGGAGCTGGAGGACATTTACAGCTCCACCGTGAAGGAGGTGGACATCCTCAAGGCGGTCTCGGGCCACCCCCACATCAGTGAGTTCCCACCGAACCTTCAAGCCTCAAAACCACACCGTCACCAGAAACGTCCAAGGGGGTTACCGTTGCAAGATTAGCGGCTTGAAAGATAACTGCATCAAAGGTGGACCCAAAGAATGACCAACGTAGAAGTAAGAAAAAGGTTGCACATAGAGGAAGACAACCTGATGATGCAGGCAGTGATGATAAGGAAACTAGCGCTATTTGGACACACGTGTAGGATGGACAACTACAGGAGAATTAAAAGTATGTTGTTTGGAAAAATTGCAAGGAACCGGAAATGTAGGAAAACCTAACAGAGAATGGCTTAAATTTTGATTTAAAGCTTTCGTGACTGCAGGGTTCATATTCTTGGTTCTTTTGGTAAAGTCACGTAGAAGGGAATCAATAAAATAATAAAAATTTTGTTTTATATTTGTATTATTTTATTGTTTCCCTTCTACGTGACTTTACCGAAAGAACCAAGAATAGAGAATGGCTTGACAACGATAGATTGGTTCCAGAAAGATGTGGCACTACTTGAGCATACTGGCACAAGACAGAGGAAAGTGGAAACAAATGACAAAATGTGCAGTGGACACCTACGGGATATTTGTCCATGGATCGTAATGATGATGATGAGTCATCAATGGAAGCTATCACAACAAAAAATACCCTCGTGATGAATGTTGTGACAGGCGGATACAATTAGGAAAGAATCCTAATTGAATAATCTTCGTCATCATCAGCCATATAAAAAATCTCTTGCTGGATGAATACCATGGCAGGCTGCCACCACCTCTCACGATCATGCAATGTAATTATCCACCTCGCACCTGTGCACACAAGCTGATTTCATCACTCCATCTCCCCGGCGGACGTCCTTGGATAAGTTCCATCCCTGTCATAATAATAATGACAATAATTTACAACCCTTGATCCGACCACTTCTGTCGTTCATGAGGGTTTGTTGACCATACTTCACCAAGTTGGTCAATGGCGGGTTTAATGGTGAACGGTGGTGGAAAGACCCTGATCCAGTACAGATATCATGACATAGATTTATGATTTCATAACCACGGCATGAAATACATTTACATTTGCATATAATTACAGTAAAACCTTGGATTGCAAGTAATTTTAAAAAATATATTTTAACTTGATAAATGAGCGAGGTCTTGCAATCCGAGTAGTACGTATACGCTTTGTCTTTCGAGCGTCACGTGATCACAACTGAGCTGATGGTTCTTCTATCTCTCTCGCTGCGGGATTGTGGGTAATCGTCTCCCATGCTCGGTCTCAGTCAGCGTGCCTCACTCGTATAGTCAACATCCGTGCGAGCGTATACTGTTTACTACAGTACTATAGTGTTAAATTTGATTTTTTTTCACATCGGTTTACTGTTTGATAGTTGAGTTGTTGCAGCCCCTTTGGTGTCCATGCACTAGGTGCCTCTGTGGATGTGTAGGCTTTGACTTTAACATAGCTATTTCTGTGACCAGTCACAAGCTAATCCCTCAACTGTTTCAATGCTAAATTCTCCTGTTTGATATGTAAACCCCTTTGTCAAAGTGCCTCACTTCTCTCAACCAGCTTAAAAGACGCTGCGAATCTTAGCAGCGTTCAATGTAGCTCTGTCGTCCCGACAGGTTGTTCCTTTCACCTGAAGAAGGCCACTTGTGTTGTGGCCGAAACGTCGTGAGAATTTTATTGTTTTATTTTATTATTTTATTCTCATTCTACGTGACTTTACCGAAAGAACCAAAGAAGATACTTTAGTGGTTGTGACCACGTGTGTGTGCGTAAAGCATTTTTTTATTTTGTGTCCAAGTGTAGTGACTGTTCTTTGGTAATTGTACTGCAACAATGGCCCCCATGAAATCCTCAAAAGGAGGCAAAAGCAAGTGTCATTGGATAGGTTCCTTGTTAAAGTCGCACAAAAATAAAAAAGATTCCAGTGAGCCAACAGATAGCAGTGATTCCGTTAGTGACAGTGAAAGTCGTCCTACATAGTAACCCTCCTCCTCTCTCTCGTCTCCCTCACACCAGCCACGATTAAATTTAATTAATAAATTTGGTTTATTTATATTAAATTTAAATAATAAAAATATAAAAAGGTATTTTGTATTAATCATTTTTACATTAATATATTTCGGTTGTGGAACGAATCATCTGAGTTTCCATTATTCCTTACGGGGAAATTCGCTTTGATATACGAGTGCTTTGGATTACAAACACGTTTCCGGAACGAATTATGCTCGCAATCCAAGGTTTTACTGTATAGTCATAGCAGATGATTCACTTTCCGACCCGCCCCGACTGGACATCTGTGATAAAGAACTTGATAGCTAATCGGATTTCTTCAGGATAAATAAAGATTCGGATTCTAAAATGCATCAGCACATAACCTGAAAATGAAAAAAACCCACAATAAAACTCTTCCGGGAGATCAAATCCACAGGCGAAACTTTGCGTTCAACGCCGTGGTGTTATCACTCAAAACCCTGGAGCGAATTCTGAAAGTGCCATCGGCTATTTATATATTTCGTGGTAAGCGTATTATATAAGTTGCAAAGCTGCTTGTGACCCAGCACGAGCATGGAATTCTCAGCTACAGTACGCTACTTAGCCATGGACATCGAAACATCCAAAATTTGTATTCACGAGCGAATACTTTCCTGCGAGCGAATACTTTCCCACGAGCTATTGTTATGCAATGGCTCTGAAATAAATAAATAAATCAATAGACGGCCAGCGGCGCTCACCCTCAGATGTCCTTTGCAAGCACTGTATTAATAAATCACGGTGGCTCTTTGCCGTTTATTATCCTCACTCGGGGATTCTGCCGTGGTGTAATGCTTAGCACACTGCACTTGGAGTGCAGAGGTCGTCGCCGGTTCCATATTCACACAAAAACGGAACAAAAGCTGAAGGGTGTGCAAAGAAGCGTGGAGACACGCACGCTTGGAATTACACTGAGGCACAGCAGGAGGAGCACAGGGATTACAGAACATGCGCAGGTTAACGACATCATTCCACCAGTACAGGATGTGGCTGAACGGCGTCTCTCCGTAGCCACATCAGCGTCAGGAACTCTCTCCCGCTGCACAGTCGAAGCATCCGAGCATCGTCCACCTTCAAGTGGCAGCTCAAGGCTCTCACCCATTCAGGTTCTCACCCGTGTTCAGGCTCTCATCTGTTCAGACTCACCCATTCAGGTTCTCACCTGTTAGGTTCTTACCCATCGACGCTCTCACCTGTCCAGGCTCTCACCTCTTCAAGCCGGCATATGAGGAACTTTGAGCTCTGCGCCTCTGAGTTCTCGATTGAACATTGTGTCCCATTCCGCAAGCCCAAATAATAATAATTATGGTTATATGGCCTTGAGGATGACTGCCAATGGTCAGGAATAATGACGCAGTGGTAGCCAAGGATCGGAACTGATTCGATAAGATGCCTACCCAGGAGATGGAGCGATGAAGTCAACTCGTGTGCAAGTGCTAGGCAGATTATCACATTGCAGGATTGCAAGAGATGGCACAGGCTTGTGGAGGTCTTCATCCAGCAGTGGATTGACCTTGGCGAATGATGATGATGACATTTGTGGTCAATGTGATGAGCTGATGTGCCCGTCTGCATTTGTTTGCTCAGCTGCGGTAGAGACAGGGTCATATGAATGTGTACGCTCATAGAAGAGTACACGCAAGCTCACATTTCACACTAATATAGTGCTTGTATTACCACGCCAAAAACAACCACTCCCAGTTAATAATTAATAATGCCCTTTTATTTATCCAGGAAAGCGTGGATACTAAGCAGACCTTTCGTCAGCAGTAACTGAACCTGCATCATATTTTTTTAAAAATCTTGGATTATGCAAACTTTATTTCTGTATTATTGACTTAAATACGACTCTGACTAATAATGTTAATTATTTCTACAGTACCATCACGAAGTAGATGTTCAGCCCAAGTGCCATCCCGCGCAGCTATTGACCAAATGCTTGCTGGGCCTCAGCCTTGCTTAGCTTCAGAGGTTCGACGGCATGGGGCTCACTCGAGGCGATTTGATTTGCTTTGGCTTGCCTTACATTGCCTCTGTCCTCCGTTACTTTTCCACGCCACTCTCAACTTGCTGCCAATGATGCAAATTCACACAGTGCTACGTTCATCCGGTGACAGTCTAACAGCTCAGCTGTACACCCTTAAATAGTATGCTTTTCTGAATGCGAGCAACGGAGAGATACTGTAAAACAATTATATCAATTTTAAAAGGCTATTTGAAATCCGCTGCTGGATGAAGGGCCTCCCCAGGCCATGTCGGTCATGGGGGTTGTTTGACTATACTTCTCCACTCTGGTCAGTGCGGGTTGGTGAAGTGGGAGGGCCAGGATCGACTCAGATGCCAGTCGCCACTGATATTAGCTGCAGCCGGAAATTTCGCGGTCATAAATGTAACCAAATTTAACAAAAATTATTCCCAAATTGCGCAGTTGTAAAAATACATAGAAACATATTCCGCCGACAGTGAAACTTAGCAGGACACTTCTGAAAATGTATCTTCAGACTCTGAGGCTTTCCTGGGTAAATAAATGTTCCTGCATATTGTACGTTGCCGAGGTCACAGCAGCACTAACCACTGCGCCGCCACTCCACTCCCCTGAGGGATACTGATACGTTATTAAAAACACACACATCTGTGATACGGATTACGATGACATAATTGGAGTGAATACATCGCGTTTAAAAAATGTGGCGATTCTAAGGGTGCCCCTTCTTTGAGAGGGAGAGCCGTGCCATCCCGTTGCCACATGTACGTGGATTCAATTCCCGTTTGTCCGTGACGGCGTCTTCGTTGAGAAATTTGAGGATCATTGAAAGTTTGAGCCACTTAAAAATAGTCGGCAGACGCATGAGGCCCATCATCCCAGCCCTGTGACATTTAGAGCCCCTGTCCTGTAAATCATCACAGTCGATGGGCAGCTTGCTTGCGTTCGGGATGGAGTGGGGGCACTACCACTTTTTTCAAGACGTCTGGCAAGCGTGGAAGAGTAGGCCAAATAACTCGTCGAGAGGCTGTATCGAGCTTTCTCTAGTGGAGGCCCCTCTGACATCAGTGGCATTAGCAGGGAATTCCAGAGGTGCAACTTTACCTGTTTATCATCGACAGCGCAAACCCGTTAAAAACATGTTTAGCTCGGCAAAGTAATTTAGACTTTGTGTACCGTACTCAAGAGAGAAGGGCAGGTTGTGCCTGCCTGGTTGAAATCCTCCAACGTGGATTTTTTATATACTTTGTATAGGGATATTAAAAGCAACAAACACGTTTAAAATTGTGCTTTGAAATTGTAAAGCCATTAGGTGGTGTCTTGGGTTTACCAAACGGATCCCTGCACAAGAGTGAATGATTGGTGGTGAGAGTGGTAGATTGTAATTCGCTGAGGTCACAATTAACGCCTTAGTTCCCCACTGAAGACGGAGACCCGTGTAGACTCATATGGAGCCCTATAGAGTTATATAGTGACCCTTAGACTGACGGGAGAGACCCATTGATTCGCATTGAGACACGAAAACTCGCACAGACACCATACAGACTTACAAAGACACCCAGAGACTCGTGTAAAGACCCATATCCCTGGACACCCAGATAGAGATCCGTGATTTACAATGCAATGTGATGTAATCGATGGATCGCACTTGGCCCCTGTGGTAATTGGCTGACTCCTTATTTCACCACTTATAGAGGAGGTAGCCACTCGTTCCAGGTGCAGTTCTAAAATGGTCAAGCATCTTCAAGACAAGGAAAAGCCAGGTAGCTCCTTCATTGGACCTTGAATGAGTGGCTGAGGGAACACAATGGTTGGCTATGTATGGTGCAAAAGAAGTTCACAACATACTTACAAAGTGACGACGGATAGATCTGGAATGTGCGGTTGCTATTGCGGCGATTCTAAGCTGTAGAAAAAAATTCTTAAGAGAAAAACTGACTTGGATAAAAACAGCAGTCTTTGTTTTCAATGCCAGACCCTTGATATTACTTAGTCGGAAGGCAAGGCCGCTTTTTCAAGATCGGTGGCTTTAAACGTTGTTCTAGGAGACCAAGTGACAAGTTTCCAAGTTTTTCTTGGCTCTGAATGATGAATCTGGTTCAGCCATCTCATGCATACGCTGTAGAGAATCACAACCGTGCGAGTGAGCGACATGAATTCTAATGATCTTCTAGAAGGGATACAATGCAAAAATTTGGCATGAATGCAGGCGAGTCTATGCTGATAGTAACTCGAAAATGTGGGTAATAAGAATAGATGTTCTGGAGGTCATGTCCTGTTTGAAGAATGCATTTGGAACTGTTGTAGAGCAGTATATTTCCCTATGCTAGTTTGTTGTCCTTCCCCGAACCTCTGATTAGCACGGTTGGCTACGTACTGTGCGAGAGAAGTTCAACATACATACGAATTACAGTGGCAGGAGGTACAAGACAACAGAACTGCTTCGGAAATCTCAAAATTTGTTCTCTTGGCTACACTAGGAGGCAGCATCTAACCATCCACCTTTCTACAGACAGAGAGAAAGCGTCAAACCCATATCGTCAATTCTCAGAGGTGGAATTCAGCCACATCGATTTGAGAGGGTTTTGTTGTTGTTGTCATGGAGTCATTGGTGACTGAAACCGAGGCCATCGATGCCTAAACTTGAGCACCTGCTTTGATCACAGTTGCTGCATTCACCACAATGTGGCTTTTTGTTTTCTTTTAATGACAGCGCCGAACCCCCGCATTCGAACCTGGGATTCAAACCGCTGGGTCACAGTGGCGACATGCCATGCCGTCACACGGGTTGAGACTGTTCATATAGACACATTCAATTTAATTTATATCAGGGCCCCATGCTGTGCAGTAGAATCCCCAACTATTATTCACTCAAATCAATCTGACCTCCCTATCCCTCTGGTATGATGAAGGGTAATTCTCCTGCACAATTATCTACAATACTTTACTTAAAGAGATATATTCCTGTTTATGGTAGTGTTATTGACAACTGTCTACTGTTGACCCTAAATGGTGATGTATGCTGGCTCCTGTAACACTCCTTCCTCACTCTTTTGCAGTTACCCTCATAGATGCCTACGAGTCCAGCACCTTCTTCTTCCTGGTGTTTGACCTGTGAGTGACATTGGATCATCTTTACAAGAAATAGGGGCTCTGCCGTGGCGAGATGTTAACCACCTCGCCTAGTGTGCAGGAGGTCGTGTGTTCGATCCCAACACTGACGCCTGCATATTTAGTTTGCGTGTTCTCCCTGTGGTCGCGTGGATTTTTCTCCGGGTCCTCCGGCTTTTCTGTTCCTTCATTTAGAATCAACATCACGCGTTTAGAGTATTTGGCTGCTATACATTTCCACATGGTAAGCCACTTCGTTGAGCTATTATTTGTGGCCAGGTCGCTTCTGATAAAGAGCTATATCGCTCAGTGGGCTTTACCTTGTAAAATAAAAAAATAAAATAGTTTAGTTTAGTGTGACGCAGAGGTCACCGCTCAACCCACTGCACTCTGTGCGTTGCTCAATGCTCCCTGAACGTGAATCTGCTGAATACCTCTTTTCCACTGGCACATCCGAGCTTGGCCAGCGCGGGGGAATTCGCGGTACACCGGCTGGCTATTTGCCGAGCCGAAACGGGACCCAACACTGAATTGCTCACCTCACACGACATCTGAATTTGGCTCGGAGCCAAGTGGGGCTAGAGGTGGTGGTTCATTATTTCCGTTATGTGTGACACCGTTGTGACGTCATTAGACGTCACGGCACTGCAAGGACACAACGTCACCGCGACGTCTACATTACGTCGCGACTCATTAGTTGAGCGTGACCTCAGCGGCCCGGTTTGGCTTCTGAAGTGGAAAAACAACCGGAATCTCGCTGAGATGCACCGGACTCGCTCGTCATGGCACAGCACGGCTCAGACGCGCAGTGGAAAAGAGGCACATGTTTCTCAATCAGCCTTACTGGGCCAAATCAATCCTAAGTGAGGTCGGAGCTCTGACCTCTTGGCGAGGTCAGTATTAAACCTCATTGCACGCTCTGGGAGATTGCCAGGAAATACCAGATGTTTTTGGCTTGGGGTGCAAGGGAGCCGTGAGATAGCAGTACACCAGTTGGTTCACGAATCCATCTGTGCAGAGCATTGACTGTTGCTCCGTCTCGTATGTGAGGGTTTTCACCAGCTGCTCTGGTTTCCTCCTACATGATGCCAAACGCATTGGATCATCTTTACAATAAATATCATGACCCCCAACCCCCCCTACATCGCACAAAGTGCTTGCCACAAATTAACCACAATACTTTGCTGATCTCGTCAAGGAACATAAACCATCGCACGAACTCCGGTCATCCTCGCAGCGACTTTTGGCTAGACATAAAACGAAGATAGTTACCGCAACGCGCGGGTTCTGATGCACTTTTGTGGCCATCTAGAACACGCTTCCTTCCGATAAAAGGAAGCCACTGGAGCTATGCACTTTTGAATCTAGATTAAAAGCTAATTTCTTTAGAACCGCCTTTTTTGTTTAGTTTGTTCTTCCCCCGCGCCTCCGATTAGCACGTTTGGCTACGTACGGTGCGGTAGAAGTTCAGCATGCATCGCCGTGCTCACGGGCCACGTGTGTTCCGTGTTCAAACAATGTGCGCACGTGCAGGATGAAGAGAGGAGAGCTGTTTGACTACCTTACAGAGAAAGTGGCGTTGAGTGAAAAGGACACCAGGTAAGTGGCGCATCCCGGCTCTGTGTTTCGTTTCTTTCAACCGTTACGAGAATACGCACGGCGTTCCGCCCATGTCACTGTACGTAAACAGTCGACTGCGGCGACGTCATGGCCGCTGTGGGGCGTGCCGTGGATGTTCCTGTCAGAAACTGCGGGTGATAACGGTGAACGCTTTGGACTTGCGTTCCATCTGCCGGCACGGGAGTTCAAGCGGTCCGCGATTTTATTAAATCCCCCTGCTCCTGTCAACCCAGCCATATGAATGGGTTGCACCGCAGAAAACTTGGCTGGTACGTGTCGCGCATGGTTTATCGTGCAGCGCGCTAAGCAACTGCACCAGGACTCTAACCTGGTATTTTGTCTCGTGTAAAGCGCTCTGAGATTTCTTAGCATGAAGGCCACTCTGTAAAATGTTTATTATTATTATTTTAACACTAGCCTATAGCCCATCCAAGGATGGGTGTATTTCAGTAAATCTGACACATTCAAGTGAAAAACAGACGGTAAAATCATATTCAGTGCATCCATTGGTGTGCCATTTGTAAGGCCGGTAACTTTGTTTTATTTCACGGTTATATCCCATGTTCATCATGACGCCCTTTTTCCTTCTACGTTTCAATAGGGTTACAGAGTTCGCGTGGCATGAGGGTTCTGGCTTTTTAATGAGGGTTAAGTTCTCGGTGAGGAGGCGCCCCCCCCCCCCCCCCATGTGGAGTGACGTCAACCGCTCACGATTATTAATGACAGCGTTACGGAGTGAGCGTGACATCAAGGCTCTGGCTTTTTATGTATTCACTATTTCTTTATTAGCTTTACTTTTATCGAGAAAAGTCAAAATGAAAGCTAATTTGCGTAAACGAATTTTCGTTTCCGCCCCACCTTCTTCATGTGGAGTGACGTCACCCGTTCATGATTATTAATGATGGGGGGGGGTCTATTTGGAGGACCCCACCTGTTCATGATTATTAATGAGGGGGGCTGGTCGACGTGGAGTTATGTCACGCGCGTTACACACAGACATTCTTGGCTCATTATATTAGTGATATGCTATTGAATAAAGGACGTTTTTCTCAAGACGTTGATTATTTTTTCTGAACATTTATTTCCTAATTATTCATTGGCAGTGGGGCATACGTACAAATTACAAAAGCCCAACACGCTTCATCAATAGCACTGCCCGAACAGGAAACATATATACGTCTATGATAGGTGGCGTTCAGGCAGTCGTCCATCGCAGCAGAGAGATGTTTTATTTTTTTAGAGTATTCTCGTATTTTAGTGTCAACCTGCACGTGTGCCCGTACCCTTAATTCCTCAGGAGCATCATGCGCTCCATCTTCGAGGTGGTCCACTTCCTGCACGCCAAGAACATCGTGCACCGTGACCTCAAGCCGGAGAACATCCTCCTGGACGACAACATGAATATCCGCCTCTCCGACTTTGGCTTCTCCATGCAGCTGCGGCCCGGCGAGCGCTTGCGAGGTAGCCGAGGATTCCCACGGGACTAGGAGCCCGGTACAGAGCGCAAACAAACCGTGACGTGGGGATGGGGGGGGGGGGTCCAGAAACTCCACGGAACGTCAGTCCCGAACTCGGTACTCCTGGGGCAAAAGATGGGGAGGAGATGGGTGCTCACTGTCCCACACGCACGTCGGGACTACGAGCGGGAGCGTCGGTTTTTATTTTTTGAGGGGGGGGGGGGGGGGGGGGGGTTGGGAAATAAGAGGAGAGGGACAAACATGTGGGTTGTACCACGTGTTGTTCTGTACTGTGGATGATTAGGCCAAACACTTCGTAAATGGTGCAGGCTCTGGTGACGAAGGACCTCCAGTTGGGGAGACCTCATTCGCAAGCAGTGGCGTGAGCAGGGAATTGCAGGGCTGCACCTGTACCCTTTGCGATGGTAGATTGAAAACTAATTTCTGTAGAACTCTTCGTGTTTAGGTTTGTTGTCCTTCCCCGCCCCCCGCACCCCGCACCTCTGATTAGCACAGTTGGCGTACCTACGGTGCGAAAGAAGTTGAACATATCAACATACATATCCGTCGTTTATCTCATTTCCTGAACAAAGCTCCCACAGCACGTGGCACAAAACGTCGGACAACACGCGGTGCAACCTGAAATCACCGGGGGAGAGCTGGAAGGCACAGCCACGCACACCTGCACAGTCGTTCGGTGCTGAGACTTGGCGTATTTGAGGGGAGACTCACTTGTGGGCGATGCCGCTTGTGTCTGCAGAGTTGTGCGGGACGCCCGGCTACCTCTCTCCCGAGCTGCTCAAATGCTCCATGGATGAATCTCACCCCGGCTACGGCAAGGAGGTCGATCTGTAAGCACGATCGTCTTAAGAGCTCGTCTGTGGTAATGTACACGGACAGCCCTTTTTGTCCATTCTGGAGCAGTCTGTCCACTCCGGTCAGCCATGACAGTCTGTGCTTTTCAGACCAGACTAAAATAATGTATTTTCTCTTCTGTTCAGATTAATTTAAGTAAAAAAAAAAAATTGAGTGCCATCCGCACTTCCATCTCAGCTTTTTGCTGAATTACGCCGTGTCATAAATCTCGATCGATTGACAGAATTCACTGCTGGATGTGGGGCCAGTAACCACCGCCATGCCGTGCGTCTTGTTGGGGGGGATTTTTTGACCATCGTGTTTCATGGCGTGGCGCCACCTCCTTCCAGATGGGCGTGCGGCGTGATCATGTACACGCTGCTGGCCGGCTCCCCGCCCTTCTGGCATCGCAAGCAGATGACCATGCTGCGTCTCATCATGGACGGCAAGTACGACTTCAGCACGCCCGAGTGGGAGGATCGGTCTGACACCGTCAAGGACCTGGTACGTGGGTGCGTGTCGAGTACGATCCATCATATCACGTCTCCTGATCCTCCGGTTCGATTCTGCTGGGTTTTTGTGTGGCTCGACGGACCTACATGGAGAGACGGCGTTTTGCCGCATTCGACGCGCAGAAGCCACTTTACCTGGTTGCGCTGCTTGTGATGAATGCTGTTTTCGGGGTTTTTTGTTGTTGTGCCAAGCGTTGCGTCAGTTGACATTCTGGGCAGTCTCTTGCTAATGAGATGCTCCATCTCAAGGGATATTGCAGATGAAATATTCGATTAAATAAATAAATAAATCGCTTTTATATTGTTCCCATAATGTAACAAATGTCTCGGAATGCAATTTATTTAGCCGGGGTGGGGGGGGGGGTACCCCTGACGTGGGCATTTGTTTTCCATTAAGGGGGTTGGCGACATTAGTTTATCAATTAATTTAATTTGCAACCATTTTAATTATATTTGGCAAAATTGGACCATGATGCCGGCGTTGATAATCCCCTTCCTCGAATAACATCACGGGATCTTTAACACCCGCTGTGATGGAGACGGAGCACATTTTACGGTTAAGACACCCAAAAAATTTACGGTACGATTTATATCCTGTCACTGATGCGAGCCATGGCCAGGAATTCGAATTTGGCTCGCCCTGCTCGCCAGTGCAGTCCGTTTACCTGTTTTTGCCAATGCTCCTTTCTCTGTAAATAAAGGGCATTGTAGCAGGTCTGGGATTGCGGTGATTAGCACGGTTGGCTACGCACGGTGAAAAATAAGTTCAGCATACATACATACATACGAGAGACATAAAGAGGAACACGTGGATTAGAGAACATTTGCATGTTAAGGACAGAATTATAACTGTTTTTAAACTTAAGTGGGCTTGGGCAAGAATCGTCGCTCAAAGGGATCAAGACTAATGATGGAGTGACAACCAAGGGAGAGACTGTGCTTGAGAGTACGCAACTGCCGAGGAGATGGAGTGATAAAATGATCAGGTGTCCGGGCGCTAGGTGGATTATTACATTGCAAAATGTTAAAGGTGGAGAGACAGCTTTGGGGGCGGGGGAGGCCTTCATCCAGCATTGGATTGATCTCGCTCGATGATGATGATAATACAGTAACATTTTTTGTTTGTTGGGGATGCATTCCTGAATGGGTGCGACAACGAATATCGAAACGAGGTAAATCAAAGCAATTTACAGGGTGGTAGCTGGAGGCGAAGGCTGAGAGGCGACGGATACGAGAAAGGACGGACGATGATGCTGTCGGCGACGCGAGTGTGGCGGTTGAGGCGGTGCAAATCGGGTATGTGGTGTGAATTAAGCGACGACTTATTTGCTAAACGACGTAAAAGGGGGGGACGTAAATTGCGGTATAACTGGAATTACATTGACATTGTGAAATTAGGGAGCCACGGGGGAGCTACGCACTTGTAAATCGAGATTGAAAACTCAGCTTTAGAACCGCTTTGTGTGTTTAGTTTGTCGCCCTTCCGCCGCACCTCCGATTAGCACAGTGGGCTGCGTACGGCGCCAAGGTACAACGTGCGTGCGTGCGTACGTACGACTCGACCACTTGCCACTGTTGCCGCCGTGGCGATGCGCGACGTCAGATCTCGCGCCTCCTCGTGGTGGAGCCAGAGAAGCGCTTCACGGCGGAGCAGGCCCTGGCGCACCCCTTCTTCCAGCAGTACGACGTGGAGGAGGTCCGTCACTTCAGCCCCTACCGCAAGTTCAAGGTGCGCGCGCCACCGTCAACTGAACTAAAAACTAAACTGGAATCTAAATTTTTTTTTTATTTGACCAGATAACGCCAAGTCGAGCTGTATAGCTCTTTTTCAGAAGCCGCAAACGATAGCTCAACGAAGTTGATTTTTCTCCGGCTCCTCCGGTTTTTTTTCCTCCACATTTAGAAACATGCGTTTTGAGTATTTGCTATGAATTCCCACACAATAAGCCACTTCTTGGAGCTATCATTTGTGGTCAGGTCACTTCTGAAAAAGCTATATAACTCAGTGGGCCTTACCTGGTAACACAAAAAAAAAAAGTTTAGTTTTAGAGTTCCAGGACCAGTCCAGATAGTCACCACCCGACGCTGACTGCGCGCGTCACCGACTTGGCTGTGCGATATACGCTAACCCTTACACCCCACCGCCCTCTTCAACGCACACGCACCCGCGCACACGCAGACCATCATGCTGACGGTGCTGGCGTCGGTGCGCATGTACTACCACTACCGGCGCGTGCGCCCCGTCACCACGGAGATCGTGCTGCGCGACCCGTACGCGCTGCGGGCCGTGCGGCGTCTCATCGACGGCGCCGCCTTCCGCATCTACGGCCACTGGGTGAAGAAGGGCGAGCGGCAGAACCGCGCCGCGCTCTTCGAGAACACGCCCAAGGCCGTGCTCATCCAGATGGCGGCCGCCGAATACGACGAGGAGGAAGATGAGGAGGAGGAGTAGCGGTGGCTGCGGCTGCGGCTGCGGCTGCTACTGCCGCCACACCTCTGGTGGAGGAGGCCATTTCCGTCAACAGTGAAATTTTTTTTGCCTCGTCCGCTCGGAGAATTGGCACGTCTAAAGAGGCTATTATGGCCTCCTGCCCGTGATGGCCAGAATATCTCAAGAAGAGGTGGGAGTACTCGCACTGTGTCCCACCACACGCCAGGGTGTGCTATGTCATATGGGGTCCCCGTAGGCTTTTTGTCAGTAAGTTGTGTAAAGGTGCAGCACTGCAATTGCCTGCTCACACCGCTGCTGGGCAGAACGGCCTCCCCTCCGAGAATATCTCGAGAGCCCCTCTCGAGGTTATTGTGGGCTATTCTTCCTCACTGGCCGGACGGCTTGCAAGAGGTGGGATGCCTCACTCTTTACCCACACCACACGGCACCTGCCGATTGGCTAAACGCGGGTCCATTGGCCAGACTAAAATTTGGTATCACCTAAGTTAAGGGCATCTTTAGTTGTGCCGATTCATTTATACGGCGAATGAGTGTGATTTTTTTCATAACCAACTCATTTAAAATGGTTATTATTGCCCAAAGTAGTCAATTGGAAATCACTGAAGTTATGCCGAATTTGGTGGCACCAACAGGTGAAATATCTGGTCAGGGCTCATGGCCTAAAGAGGACAATTGCAGTGGAAGAAGATACTGAGTTTGTTATAATTACAAACGAAGTGTTGCCAGGTCGAAAATATTCCCCTCTAGCACCCGATTAGTGCAGCTAAAATGCTTGCAGTAACGAATACATTTCGTTTGCAGGATGCTTTAAAGTGGTAGGCCTCGCTATCTACCATCCCTGCGGTAGAGAGACAGAGTGACAACAGAAGTACTTAGATGTGTATGGAACTTTTTATTGAAAAGTTTTCACTTGAGTGTGTTTTCCTAGGTCATAAGAGTAAGGGGGGACATTTTACAGCCGTTTGTCCATCCACTGCTGGATAAATACTTACCCTTGCTGCGTCAGTCATGAGGTTTTTTTAAAATCTTATTTTCCCACGCTGGTCAATGCTAATTGGTGAAGGCGGGGGGCGGGAGCAGGAGCCAGGACTGATTCGGATATCACTCGCCACTTATATTAGCCATGGCCAGGAATCGAACTCGGATTTGCGGGGATTCAGAACGCAGTGCGCGCGACCCCCCTCTTTGCGACTGCTCCCCACCTCCCCCCCCCCCTCTTTGCAGTGTATTGATTGTGAAATATGCAGTTCAAGGGCATTCTTTGGGTTGAACATCCAAACTCCGGTATGGATTTTTACACTCGCAAAATAAATCCTGACTCGTTAAGCGGGAAACTTCTCTTGCAATGAAACGTCAGGGTTAGTGTTCAGTATTCGCAGGAGTTGCTGCCTGGTCGTTGAAATGGTGGTAATTATCGAGAGTGCGGTGTGGATGGAAGGGTGATGCCGTCCAACGACAACGTGGAATGGATATTTAAAAGGACCTTCAACTTCCTGCAGAGCTTTTATTTCATTGAGTGGTTTTACCTGGACAATCCTGAGAGATGGAACACACATCGTTTGCAAGGGTGTCCAGGGTATCGAGTGACACAAACAGAGCGCAAGTTTTTTCTTGACATGTTATACATATGTATGTATATGCTCGTACATACAGCAGCCATGTTTATTTATTTTTATGTAACGGCAAGAATATTGAACAAGACTGCTTTGAAACTGATTGCTATTATTTTTTGTTAACGTACGATGTGGTGTTGAGCAACACAGCTAGCATATTAATTCATGCCACTACGTGGCTTTAGACTCTTATATTTCCGACGTGTTTTCGGGTTGTACCGCGTTTCGTTTGACATTTCGCTTAGCGTCCTGGGAGCTTCTTAATGCCGCGAGAGTTGACGATGGTTTTGGTTCTTCATCCAGCAGTGCATAGATCATGGATGACGGTGATGAGTTCAGAAGAGGGGGGCCATGACTGAAGAGTTCAGTTGCTGAAGAAGCTCCCGGCACGTGATGCGAAACTTCGGAGATCATGCCGAACAACGTGCGGTACAGGACAACCCGAAAACACATCGGAGGGCCCTACTTTGAGAGTTGTTTTAAGTTGCTTACTGTACTCAAGCATTCATGAGCACGTATTTAAAGATGTTGGCGTTGAGCACTTGGCTTGACCTCTTCGTTTGGTTGAGTAACAGACCGTTGTTATTTTAGTTATGTTAAGTTGTCGAACATAACCACTATTTAAAACGTTGTAGCGTCGATACATTTATTTTCTGTAGTGCATTACAGTAGTTATTTATTTCGTCATTTTAAGGTCAATGTTTTGCAAGATAAATTATGTTTTTTTTGGCAAATGCTGGTATGCGCTGACCTCTGTGCACGAGTTATTGTATGAATGCATTTTTGATGAATACCTTCAAAAAAATAAAGGATGCAAACATTTTAAGAAAATCTATATTGGCCATTCATTAATGCTTAGTGCTCCAATCTCCCATTGATGGTCTGGTGGCTATTCGGTGCTGCCCTGGCTGCCCCTGGGGCTCGTGGTTGTACTGTACGTATATATGTTGAACTTAATTCGCACCGTACGTAGCCAACCGTGCTAATTGGAGGAAGGGCAATCAATGTTGCTGTATCTCTTGTCTCTCCCGTATCTCCCTGACCACCCACCAACCCTGTTTCTATCCCGAAGTAGTTTTTTTTTTCCATATTTAAAAGTAGACACTATAAATTAACTGTCACGTTTATGACTTGTAAGTAATGTAAGAAAAAAAATTAAGAGTTTATTTTGGCAGTATACGAATGGAGGAACAATAAACCGGTTGGTGCACAATGCTTTGAATCCAAGAAAGTAAAGTTTGGTAATATCCCTAAGGCGTGGTTAGGAGACATTTACAAGCCAAGTAAGCGCTGAGAGAGCTTCTGAACGCAGCTTATAGACAAGTTTAGGGATCCAGGCCAGGGCTATTATCCCATGATCTAGAGCTCTCCCTTCTGCAACCACTGCCTGTTTCAACAGCCTCAGTTGATACACAACCACGGCCAATCAGAAATAAGTTAGATAAGTTGTGAAGTGGTGCATCAGAAAACTGCACCATCAGAAAAAGTGCAAGCAACTGATGATGCCACAATGTAAAATCCCCAAAATTATAATGGATCTTTATTTCTTTAAGTGCGTATGTTGGGGGTGGATTAGGACCCTAAACTACACAACGTGTAAATACATTTCTTACGACTGGTTTCTTGTGACCTAAAATGGAGATTGTCAAATTGTAGATCTTGGGTAGGTGCTTTAATTAAATAGATGGTCTAATCTTATTCAATATAATAGCACATTTTTTGATACATACGCTTTCACGACACAACACGATCCGTCATGTTTTTTTCCTTTGCATTGTAGCGTGTAAGTACATTCTGCGTCTATGTACCGAGTTTTAAGTTATCACGCATTTTCTGCAAGTTAAACGTGTCCACACTGGGTTACTGTACCAGAGGATACTGTAGTAGTGGGAAGAAGAAGAAAAGAATCCAACACAAAAGAGAACACCGGGCTCTGGGAATAAACAGGGCACAGTGCCCAGCCTGGCGTCTTTCCATGAGAAATCGAGTTGTGCCAGCATCAGCAAGAAGGCCGCTGGCCAAACGAACTCGTACACAATTGCGATTTAGACGCTTGACTTTCGCATGTATTTTTTTTTGCTCTTAATTGCTTTCAACTGCTTTCAACTATGGGTGGCTCACGAGTGGGAGCACTGATGAGTAACCGCTGAGATGCTGCGTTTGAATGCAGATTTACATCCGTAAGGGATCTCACGGAGCAGTTCTGTAGCGTCTCCTTCCACAGGCCGTTCTCTTAACGCTAACGCAGGGTGATTTCTTTTGCGAGACTTCCAAATGGATCATCTTGATTTGAAGCTTTCGTGACTGCAGGAATCCAAATGGACACTTTGTCGCACGCCACGATACAGAGAGCATCGTTGGAATAACTTTTTTGGGGGGGGGGGTAATGAAACGTATTTTAAAGCAGTTAAAAGTGTGGTAACTATATAGGACAACTTCAGTAAATATCGAGGGAAACGGTGAGTAGTACCCTAGATGATGGAATAATGTCATTATTGTTGAGGTGAGGAGGGATAGAGTAGCCCAGTCAACATCGCACCCTGGCCAACGTTGACTCAATGTTCGCCCAACGTTGCACGTTTGCTGGCAACGTGCACAGGAGTCTGGGAACGTTGTGTTGGGGTCTGGGTATAGGCTGCGTGATGGGCAGCAGAGGGCAGTGCAGCAACATCCATTTCGCTGCTCTACGTCGAAGCTCCTCGCTCTTCACTAACGCGGAATGACGAGAGTGGTGAAGTGCGTGGTTGGGAATTGTACATTTTCCACTCGTACTATAACGCCAAATTCGCCACGAAAATGATCCCTGCATTGCCAAGCATCCCCCCCAGCAGAGGAGGCAGCAGTATCTACTTGACGGCAAACTTTGGCCAAAAGAAGATAACACCTCGTACTCGTGTTACTTTGCTGTATAACACTGGAATTTGGTATGGCTTTACTTTATCCACTATATCATGTTTAATGGGATTGTATTCATCAAGCCACTGTTAAGAAAGTGGGGCTTGGGCAGGAGACGTGTATAGCTTAACGAAGTGGCTTATGTGAAATTTTATAGTAGCCAAATACTCTAAATGCATATTGATTCTAAATGTGGAGGGAAAAACCGGAGGACCCGGAGAAAAATCCACGCGACCACGGGGAGAGACACCGCAAACTCCAAATATACAGGCGTCAGGGTCGGGATCGAAACCATGAATTCCTGCATACCAGGCGAGGTAGTTAACATCTCGCCCCCGTGCACACAGAGGAATACGAGAGGAGATGAGTCCCAGTGTGTATCAGGAATAAATATTTACTAATCCGTGCATACAACCTGCTATGACATCAGGTTCAGAAACGTGGTTACTTAAATAGGACGAAACGTGGCATGCAGCCTGACAAGTTTGCAAATACACACGAAGAGAAATGACATTAGGGGAGGCTCTCATCCAGCAGTAGATTGATTGTACTCTGCACCCCCCCAGTATCATAGCCACCCCTGGTATGTGCTACCACCAATGTTGGTGGTGCTGGCCCATCGGGGGGGGAAGGCTAAGGAAAATATTTTTGTAGCTCCGCCTCTGCGGGTTCCCGTGCTGTGTTGATGTAAAATAAACGTCGACAAAAGCCGGAGTGCGCGCGTTGAAACGAGAAAAGAGATATGCAAGCGAGATGGAGATGAGAGAGAGCGACAGAGAGATTAATTGGCTTATTTTCTTGGAGGCAAAACAAATGTTCGTTCGAATGTAACGGAGTGCGGGAATCAATGAACGCAACGAAATCTGTCCGTGTGCAGAAGGTGCTGGGTGCGAGGTTGGCCGGGAGCTTTGCGAGGCCTTCCATCCAGCAGTGGATTGACCATGTTGCTGGCGACGATAAGAATCCGAGGTCGAATTTGATGCGCACCAATTTTGTTTTGTTTTGTTAAATAATTTTCATGAATTCTGGGTGAGCGGGTGGGGGACGGTGGGACTCGTGGGGCCGCCCGGATATTTAACTTATTTATTTACTAGACATCTGTGAAAAAAAAGAGTTTGATAGCTCATCGGATACCTCCGATATAAATATGATATTTGGGTCTTTCGGTAAAGTCATGTAGATAGGTAAAAAAAGTAATACAATTATAAAAAAAACTACGACGTTTCGATCGCAACACAAGCGACCGTCACAACGATTTTATTTATTCCACCTGATGACGGTCGCTTGTGTCGCGATTGAAACGTCGTAATTTTTTTGTTACTTTTGTTAATTTTCCTATTTTTTTACCTATCCACGTGACTTTACCGAAAGACCCAAAGAATACGAATTCCTGCAGTCACGAAAAGTCAAAGCAAATATAAATACATATTTCGATTTAAAGCTTTCGTGACTGCAAGAATTCATCTTCTTTGGTTCTTTCGGTAAAGTCACGTAGAATGAGAATAAAATCATAAAAATAACACAATCAAATTCTCACGACGCTTGCGTTGTGGCCGAAACGTCGTGAGAATTTGTGTTATTTTATTATTTTATTCTCATTCTACGTGACTTTACCGAAAGAACCAAAGAAGATAAATACATATTCTAGATACGAACGCATTCAAACTTTTTGTTTGCACGCTCACCGCAAGTCTATGTGGTCACCGCAGACACGATTCCTTGCAAAGATTTCACTTTGGTGTTTTAAAATTTCAACGCCTGTCTTATTGCCAGAAAGGGGAAAAAACCCTATTATCATAACTATTATACTTTCACCTGAAGACGGTCGCTTGCTGTTGCGATCGAAACGTCGTCATCCATTTTTCGTTTACCTACGTGACTTCACCGAACAGAACCAAAAGAGTAACTATTATCACAATTCATTACCGGCAAAGGAGGGCTCATTAACTTTTTTGGGGTGGTGGTTTTCTTTTTTTTTCGCTCACTTGCGCCACTTGCGCCCTCCCCTGCTCGGCTGTTGTTACAGCAGCAGCAGCGCAGCCCGAACCTGGTGGTAGAGAGAGTTGGTGGTGGTGGTGGGGGGGCAGCACCACGCGCCGGCCACGTGAACCGTCGTCACAAGCCCCGCAGTTTCCTCGCCTTCCCATTGGCCAAACCGGCCCCGCTGATGTAACACCCGGCGCGGCTCTCGCCACCCACCCCACCCACCCCACACCACCCACCCCACACGTGGCGGGGCCCCCCACCACCACGTGGATGAGACCCAATGGCAGTGCACTGTGGGCGAGGCTATAAATGCCGTCGCGTTGGCCGCGGGTCTCGCTTTCGCTCGCCTCCCTCGCACGCAAACGCAACGCCGCTTTAAATCCTTCACCATCACCACCACAGCCACCCCCCCCCCCCACGTGCAACTCGCGATGACAACGCGCCGGCTGAGCTGCTGCTGCTGCTGGCTGTCGTCATTCACGTGCTGAGCAAAGAGAAGGAAACGAAGGGAGGGAGGGAGGGGAAGGAAAAATAAATTTACTGTTCGTTCGCATTTAATTTATATTGCAACGGAGCTGCTTGCTCTTGCGGGTGGGGTGGTGTCGTCCGCGTTTATCATTTGCACTTTATTTTTTTTAACGCTGATAGGTATTTATTGCCGCGATATTTATTTATTTAGTGTTTTTATTTTATTGCTCGTCCAGAGATACGGCGCGGTGTGTGTGTATATAAAGAGAGAGTCCAGTTTCGCATTGGTTCGGGGTTGGCACATCAGCTGACAAGACGCATTACGCCGATCACCACGCTGCGGTTCAGTGTAAGTACTGAGTTACAACATCTCGCTCAGATGTTTATACTGTACAGTATATGTTATACATTTAATCGTGCACATTGTTAGTTTGTTGCGAAGTTGAACGATGATGGTGATGATGATTACATGGCATA